TACAAACGGGGTGCCAACAATATTGCCGATGCCCTGACCCGACCTACTGCCCATACCGCCGCCATACTAGTCGCCCAGACCAGCCCATTACTTACTGGACTATTTACCCACGGCTACCGCATCAATCCTTTCTTCAGCTCTGCTATTCATCAACAGCATACCACAGCCGCCGTACATTATTTTAACAAGCGTGATACGTCTCGCATCTAGATACTCGGCTATGATTTACTTCGTACCCTGCTAATACATGAATCTCACGACAACCCGACCTCCGGGCATTTCGGCATCGACAAAACTCTAAAGACATTGCAGCGCAATTATTATTGGCTGAACATGGCCGACGACGTGCGCAAGTACGTGTCCTCCTACACAGCCTGCCAAATCATGAATTCCTCCCATCAACGGGCAGCTGGACACCTACAGCCGTTGGATCCGCCCGAGCGACCCTGGCAACATATTACGATGGACTATGTGACAGGATAGTCAACCGATCCCAGCGGAAACGACGCCATCCTCGTGGTCGTCGATCGACTCACGAAAATGGCGCATTTCATCGCCTGCCAACAGACCATCACAGCCAAACAAACTGCCCAACTGTTCATCGCCAACGTCATTCGACTGCACGGACTGCCCACCGCAATTATTTCAGACAGAGACCCGAAATTTGCATCGAATTTCTGGCGCCACTTGTGGGACCAGTTCGACACCAAACTACAGCTTTCCTCAGCCTACCACCCACAGACCGACGGGCAGACCGAACGTGTTAACCAAACTATGGAGCAGCTCATTCGAACTACCTGTACTGACCCACAGACATGGGAGAAATCCCTTCCGCTGCTGGAATTCGCGTATAACAACGCGCCCTCTGCGACAACCCATTAGTCCCCGCTTTTCCTAAATTACGGCCAGGACCCGGTGTGTTAAAATTATATATTGAGTTATATAATTGTTTGGCTTGGTAGGTTACCGAACTTTACTGTAGAGGGTACAATCCCCTCCTTGTATGCCTCTCTCTTTCTATTCCAACTCTCTTTTCTCTCCTCAACTTTTCTCCTTCCTAAACCTCATGCCACTCCATGGCTCCTCCTAGCTAAACCTCATGCCTTTCCTAGCTTCCTAGCTTAGCTAGCCTTCTAACACGGTGGTACCCTCTACCCCGAACATCGAGACACCCGTGCTCCGGTCCCAGAAATTTGCTGAAGACATTATCGTACAGGCATCAGGAAAGCCAACTTGGTCGCCAGCCGACAAGCCGATCGCCATCGACGTGACGTCACTTACAAAGTGGGAGATCTCGTTCTCCTCGACACTTGCAATTTGCGGCTGCCGATCCCGAGCAAACTCCGCCCCAGATTCTGCGGACCCTTTCAAGTGACGAATACAGTGGCGGAATAAATTGTCCACATGTTCAGCCTTTTTTGGCATTTTGATGAGTGAGCGGCGTAAACATTAAGCCTTAATGTATGGTGTGCATACACGCTGAGAAGATCAGTTAGAGCACTCACTCGAGTTGCCAAACACCAAAGTAGTGCCACACATGGTCCTTAAACACCTAAGCATAGCATAGGATAACATCCGGACAATTTGTACCGAATTCAGGTAGCATACTAGATTCTACGAAAACTAGTACCTAGTCCAGCGTCCCTTTGCCCGAATCACTGCCTTGATCCTCCTCGGCAGGCTGTCGATCAGGTTTGCACACACCTCCGCCGGTATCTTGTCCCATTCCTCCTGCACCCTCTCCCACAGCTCCAGCATTCCACTTGGCGGCTTTTCGTACTTCCCCAGCTGCCTTTTCACGTGTGCCCACAGGTGCTCAATCGGGTTAAGGTCCGGGGAGCACGACGGCCATTCCAACACCGCGTACTCCTGCTCCCCAAGCCAGTCTTGGACCCGACGAGACCTGTGCTTGGGATCATTGTCGTGCTGGAAAATGACCTATGAGGGGGAAAGCTTGAAAAAATCGATGGTCTATTTGAGCTCATCTTGCACGATGCTGCGATACAGCGGCCCATCCATCCTGCCATCTATCTTGCACATGAAACCCGCCCCCTCATACGTCATGCAACCCCACACCATCACAGAACCACCCCCATGCTTAACTGTCGGTTGGACTTGATGGCTCCGAAGGCTGGTGCCCTCGCAAATCCAGGCGTACGCACGTCCGTCGGAGCAGTAGCGGTTTATCTTTGTCTCGTCATACCAAATCACCCGCTTCCAGTCCTCCAGCGTCCAGTCGGCATGCGACCGCGCGAAATCGAGACGATCTCGGATGTTTTTCGGTGAGAGCCTGGGTTTCTTGGGCTGATGCACGGCGATCAGCCCCGCGGATCGTAATGAGTTCCTGACCGTCTTCGAGTCTACGGCGAGATCGTGCTTCTCCAACAACATATTTGCTGCGTCTACAGAGCTTTTCGCCTCGCCGCTTGTAATCGCGCGTATTATTCCGCGCTGGAGACGGGTAGTGATTAAGCGGGGGCGGCCGGCCGAAGGCATCGTAGGTCGCACTGTCAACTTATACATATTAGCTATGTAGAAGTTATAGGCTAGACTGAGGTATGCTTTTAGTGAGTACAACCAACCAGTACTTGTTCTAGGTTTCCACTTCTAGTTATTCATTCAGTTATTACTTCAGCAACATGGTATCACGCGTAGGTTAGCATCCCCCACCTACCGCTTCCGCCTGTACCCTAGCTAGTCCCCGCCGCGCCCCCCCCCCCCCCCCCCCCCCCCTTGGAGCCCCGTCACGCCTCCTAGCCCCATCGCGCCCCTCCTGGGCCCCGTCGCGCCTACTGGCCCCGTCGCGCCCCTCCTGGGCCACGTCGCGCCTCCTAGCCCTGTCGCGCCCCTCCTGGGCCCCGTCGCGCCTCCTAGCCCCGTCGCGCCTCCTAGCCCCGTCGCGCCCCTCCTGGGCCCCGTCGCGCCTCCTAGCCCCGTCGCGCCCCTCCTGGGCCCCGTCGCGCCTCCTAGCCCCGTCGCGCCCCTCCTGGGCCCCATTGTGCCTTTAGCCCCGTCGCGCCTCCTAGCCCCGTCACGCCCCTCCTGGGCCCCGTCGCGCCTCCTAGCACCCCTCCTGGGCCCCGTCGCGCCTCCTAGCACCCCTCCTGGGCCCCGTCGCGCCTCCTAGCCCTGTCGCGCCCCTCCTGGGCCCTGTCGCGCCCTGCCTGGCCCCGTCGCGCCCGCTAGGCCCCGTCGAGCCCTGCCTGGCCCCGTCGCGCCCGCCTGGTCCCGTCGCGCCCTGCCTAGCCCCGTCGCGCCTGCCTGGCCCCTCCGCGCCTACCTGGCCCGGCCGCGCCTGCCTGGCCCCGCCGCGCCTGCCTGGCCCCGCTGCGCCTGCCTGGCCCCGTCGCGCCTGCCTAGCCCCGACGCGCCTGCCTGGCCTCGCCGCGCCTGCCTGGCCCCGCCGCGCCTGCCTGGCCCCGCCTCGCCTCCCTGGCCCCGCCGCGCCTGCCTGGCTCCTCCGCGCCTGCCTGGCCTCGCCGCGCCTGCCTGGCCTTGCCGCGCCTGCCTGGCCCCACCGCGCCTGCCTGGCCCCGCCGCGCCTGCCTGGCCCCGCCGCGCCTGCCTGGCCCCACCACGCCTGCCTGGCCCCTCCGTGCCTGCCTGGCTCCGCCGCGCCTGCCTGGCCCCGCCGCGCCTGCCTGGCCCCGCCGCGCCCCCCTGGCCCCGCCGCGCCTGCCTGGCCCCGCCGCGCCTGCGTGGCCCCGCCGCGCCTGCCTGGCCCCGCCACGCCTGCCTAGCCCCTCCGCGCGTGCCTGGCTCCGCCGCGTCTGCCTGGCCTCTCCCACTGCCCGCCCGGCCCATCTTCATGCCTGCTCGTCCTGCGTGCCCTAGAGACTCGCTATCGCACTGCCAGCACTGCTGCCCAGCTCACTGCGCTCCCCCCCCCTTTCTGCATGACGCTCTATTTTATCGCCATGCGCCTGCCAGACCGCCTCGCTAGTGCTCGCGATCACTTCCTTAGCCAGCACCCGGGTGACCTCACCCTCACCGCCTTTGTCGACACCCTCACCGAGATCGAGACTCGTCAGCGCACTATCGCTCAGTCGAGCGGTGCGCCGGCAGTCTCTATCATTCACGGCTGTGCCCCCTCCCAGTGCACGTTCACTGACGTTTCGGCTGCGGTCGCCACGGCGACACCTCTCACCGAGACGGCTGCTGCGATCCACCCGCAGCAGCGCTCGCGCCGCGGTGGCCGTGGTCGCCAGGGAGGTAGGAAATGTCCTTATCGACCGTCGAGGAGTAAATTTCAACCCCACTTTCCGGTTTGTGTCACAATCGCGCCAAGCAAGAAACGGTTGAAGCAGAACTCGAAAACCTTGTAACGGAATGGCAAAAAACGGGTGTTACTATTTTCGAAACATGTGTGGCATAGCGATACGTTTCAAAGTGTTAAACATCCGGGCAATTTATTCCGCCACTGTATGGTGACACCTGTCACTGCTCACCTTCGACTCCCAGCTGACTGGCGTTACCATACGGCTTTCCACGTTGGCCTGTTACGGCCCTACGTTCCTAGTTCGTCCGAATTGACACGCCAACGTGGGATACCACAGCTGACGCCACTGCAGGAACCGACGACCGAGCCTTTGAAAATTCTCGGCCATCGAGTCACGACGCAGCTGAACCGTCGGATGGTTGATTTTCTCGTCCGCTGGCGCGATCACACGTCCGAAGATGACAGCTGGGTGCCGCTCTCTGAACTAGAATCACATCCGATTCTAACAGCGTATTATCAGCGTCGGAATGTTTCCGATGCCCGCAGTCTCGTTTAGGAGGGGGGGGTAGTGTAAGGAATTTCCATTCCTTACTGACTCGTCACGTTCAACCTCGTTTATCGGGCCCAACCCTTTACCGAGTCGCGTCCGGCACTCTCGCCACATTGCCGAACCTACCCACGTTCCGAGGTTATCGCCCTAGTACGCCAACTCCTATATAACCTCGTGCCTTCATTGCAATAGGACATTGGATTCTCACGTTAACATTGACACTTCCTATATCATAACATTGGCCCTCACTCCACACACCCCCTCCCTGCGACAAATCCGCCTCCACTCCATCGCCCACCTTTCCCTCCCAGGATCAAGAACTTCCACCATCAAGCAGTTTCTAGACTAGCTCGCCCAGGCATCTAGACACACTAGATCTATGCTATTTTTCTAGAACACCGACTGTAGAAACCCTCGTGGCACGGCGAATACTCGCGCCAAAGGCAGTGCACGCGCCCTCCCGCCTCACTCACGCCCTGGAGCCGCGTCGTCTGGCGAAAAAATCGCCCGTAGCATGCGATTTCACGCCGTACCATCCGCCCACCCTTCCCGTCGCGACCAACCCTCCTGCTGCTTGCGCTGGCCGCTGCCCGTGCTGCCCGCTGCTCGCGCTGCTCGCTCTCGCACTGCCCGCTTCCGCTGGCCGCTGTCCCCTGCTCGCGCTACCCGCTGCCGCCCGCTGCTCGCGCTGCCCACTGCCCGCTGCTCGCCGCCCGCTTCGCGTCGCCCGCTGCTCGCCGCCCGCTGCGCGCTTCCCGCTGCTCGCCGCCCGCTGCACGCCGCACGCTGCTTGCCGCCTGCTGCCCGCCGCCCGCTGCTCGTCGCCTGCTGATCGCCTGCTGCCTGCCCGCTCGCGCATGCGCGCAGCCGCCGGCGCAGCAGCCGCAGCCGCAGCTGCAGCTGCAACCGCCGGCGCCGCCACCGCAGCCGCCAGGGCAGTCGCCGCCGCAGCCGCCGCCGCCGCCGCCGCCGCCGCCGCCAGAGCAGTCGCCGCCGCAGTCGCAGATAGAGCCGCAGCCGTCACCGCAGCCTCCGTCGCAGCCACCCGCGCTGCTGCCGCCGCCGCCAGCACAGCCCCCGCCAGCGCCACCGCCCGCCCCGCAGCCGCAGCCTCCAGCGCCGCCGCTGCCAAGAGTGGGGTGGGGAGGGGATAATAGAGGAATGGGGGGGGGGGCGGGAGGGGGATTGGGAGAGGAGGGCAGGTGGAAGGGAAGAGGACGGGAGGGGGAAGGGAAGAGGACCTCAGGAGGGTGGGGAGAGGATGGAGGGGGATGGTAAGAGGACAGGAGGGGGGTGGGGAGAGGATGGGAGGGGGATGGGGAGAGGAGTGGAGGGGGAAGGGGAGAGGACGTCAGAGGGGTGGGGAGAGGACGGGAGGGGGATGGGGAGAGAACAAGAGGGGGATGGAGAGAGAACAGGAAGGGGAAGGGGAGTGGACCTCAGGGGGATGGGGAGAGGACAAGAGGGGGATGAGGCGAGGACAGGAGGGGGATGGGGAGAGGAAAGGAGGGGGACAGGGAGAGGAAAATAGGGGGACGGGGAGAGGACAAGAGGGGGATGGGGAGAGAACGAGAGAGGGATGGGGAGAGAAGAAGAGGGGGACAGGGAGAGGATGGGAGCGGGGTGAGGCGAGGACAAGAGGGGGACGAGGAGAGGGCAAGAGGGGGATGGGGAGAGGACCTCAGGGGGGTGGGGAGTTTGCGAGACGAAGATGGGGAGAGGACGGGAGGGGGATGGAGAGGACAGGGGAGGGATGGGGAGAGGACAATAGGGGGGTGGCCAAGAAGGTATAAGGCTGGAAGAAAGCGGGTGGGGGAAGGAGAGTGAGAGGAGGGATAGCAGGGAGAGGAGATAGGATGATTGTGTGGTAGAGAGATAGGGGGGAAAGGGGGGAAAGGGAGAGAGGCGGAGGGGGAAAGGGAGAGAGTAGGAGGTGGCTAGGGAGAGGCGGGCAAGGGGGGGGGGGGGGGGGGGGGGGGAGACGAGAGTGGAGGGAGAGAACGAGAGCCCTCAATGCCCCCGCTCTAGGACACATCCGACACCCCAACCATTGCCCATCCCCATCTGCCCCACGCGACCCCCGTCTCACTCCCCCCACTTCTCTGCCCATCCCCCTCTTGCCCCTCACGCCCCACTCCCCTTCCCCCCCCAGACTGCCCATCCCATGCTACTGGTCACTGCCCTTCTCTCACTGCCCCCCTTCTCTTGCCCCCCCACTCTTGTTACCCTTCTCATGTACTCAGCCCCCATGCCCACCCTCCTCTGTGCGTCGCCTCTCCCACCCCATCCCCTTCTTCCCTGCCCATCCCAGTCTTGTCCTTCCACCCCAATTCTTCTCAAGCTTCCCCTTTATGCACACCCCCCTTGCCCTTCTGTCGCCCTGCTCTCCCCCCCCCCCCCCATTCAGGCGTGGAAGGGATGGTTGTTCTTTCTCCAAGCTGTGGTGCAGCCAGTCAAAAACAAGACCCCAGCACAAATTTTGGGGCTGCGATTCTGGCGATAGGAAATAGTGTGGGAGGGTAAGGGATGAGGCTTGCTACAGAGCAAAACTCTGCTGGGTTGGTGTGAAGAGAGGATGTTGGTAGTAGGAAAGTGGTGTACTTGTATGGATTGCAGCGCCACAATGCATTGGCCTGTCATTATTGATGGTGGTGGTGTGTGCTGGCAGACACAAAGGTACCATCAAAGAGCCATGGTTATACATTTGCAGGCTATTGGCGACAGTAGCTGAATGAAGTATAATTCACTATACAATCTACAACATTGTGTACTATTTTAGTTTAGGCCCCATTATAGATATTCTCCCCTTCAACTCCAACTTTCTCCCGTGCTGCCTTGTCATGGCCTACTCCTACCATCCATTCACTGGCCACGTGGCAATGCCTCATAATCATCCAATGTAGATGGCCCCACTGGCCACGGGGCAGATAGCTATCGTGAGCACGCAGGCACGGTTGGGGGAGGGGAGCAGAGGGACAGAGAGCATAGGAGAGGGGGAGAGAGCAGGAGGGAGGTTCTGGGAGCATGGGAGAAGGGCAGTGAGCATGGGTGACAGGGACAGGGCAGGGGAGAGGCGGAGAGAGCATAGCTGTGGGTGTTAGTGAGCAGGAGAGGGATGGGGAAGCATGGGAGGGGGCTTCAACAGGCAGGGAGAGAGTGTGAGAGCAAAAGGAAGGGATGGATGTGAGGGCACGAGCAAGAGAGCACGGCATGGGGAAACGATGCCGACTTAGACCATGGACCGGGGCAGGGCTCCAGACGTCCATGTGCAGTGTCTGTAGCGGTGTTGTGGTAGAAGGAAACGAGGAGGATTGAGGGGCGACGCGCTGCCAGTCCTCGACGCAGGAGGTGCACAGTGGCGCGACCAACACAGGCAAGGCGGGGAGCGATGCAGGGAGACCAATGACTAGACCATGCAGGGACAGGTGCCTAAGACGCTGGAGTGCAGGGTGACCTAAGCGATGGTGCCACAGAAGGGTCGGGTGGGTGAGTGAGCGACAGGAAAAGGACGCGACGACCTCAGCAAATGCAGCAACTAACGGTGACTCATTGTATAGGGAGAAGAGACCAGACCCTGGGTCACACTCAAAGGTGGTCAAGTGGCAACTGGTGGCTGTGTATGTGCAAGTTGCGTGGCGCTCACGGCCAGGGAACGTAGTGTTGACGCCTCGGTCTTGGAGGTGACCGACACCCACTAAAGTTCGTAAAAATGAGGGGATGTGCAGACCAGAGAGGGAGCCGGAGGGGACAGCTGGACAAGGGAGTGTGGTGGTGCTGCGGGCGACAACTGTGGCTGAGGAGTCTGCAAGTGCGACGCGAAAATGTGCAGGAAGCGGTGTCAGTGCACTGCTGTTTCGAAAGAAGCAACGTGACGCGCCAGAGTCTAGGATGAAAGAGAGGGTCATCGCAGGAGGGGCAGGGGAGGAGCCTAGGGGACACGAAGTAGAGGCTCCTACACTAGACATAGTGGTGGGGCCTAGACCTCTAGGCCCCAAGGCCCCCGGTCCTCCAGAGAAACCACACTGGCCCCAGGGCAGTGACCGCCCCGAGGCCTCACCTCCAGAGACTCCATCGCACCCAGCACCCCCAAGACCCCACTGCAGCTGCTGCCGCTGCTGCTGCTACGGCTGCAACGCTGGCCAAAGAGCCCAAAAGCAGATGTCGAGATCGCGAAGCCAAAAGCCAAGGAGAGAACTAATGTGATCCTCTAGGAGCGTGCAGTCTAGGTGTGGGCTCACCGACTGTAGATAGTGAGTGAGCAACTGGAGAGCGGAGGGAAGTTTCCGGCGGTCTGGCCGAGGGATTGACCCTAACGAGGCTATCATACCGAGAGGAGAGGCGTCGAGGAACTCTACAAACGAGATGGAGACTAGTGGGAGGCACTAGGTGCTACAAGAGAACTAACTGAGGTAGTAGCAGTGGCGGCTGTGGCCGGAGCAGTGGCAGCGAGTAGGAGGCTAGTAGCACCAGCGACTAGCGGTAGGCTGACGGTAGCTGGAGCTAGTGACAGTAAGTCGGCAGTGGCGGCTAGCTGGCGGTGGGCTGGTAGCAAGAGGCGGCAAGCTTGGATCGGGTGGACAGTGGCTTGTGAGCGGCTGGCAGGAGGTTAGGAGCTGCTAGGAGGTTTAGGGAGCAAACGAGGAGGAAGTATGCGCGAGAGGAGCTACTAGGAGCACAACGTCGAGGAGCTAGCTAGGAGTCACTAGGACTAGTGGCATAGGGCGAATGACAGTCCACAGGGCACAGGGACTTACGAGGCTGGCGATCGACTGCCGCTGGCAGCTGGGTGCGAGTGGTGGCAACCAGCGGTTGACGGCTGGGGGTCGGCGGCTGGTCACCGGTGGCAGCTAGAGCCGGCGGTCGGCTGCTGGCAGCTGGCGACTGGTGCTGGTGGGCAGACTGCTGGAGGCCGAAGCTTACGGTTGGCAACAGCAGTGGCGACAGGAGCGGCAATGGCGGCTGCAGAGGCAGCGGCGGGAGCGGCAGCTGCAAGGGCAGCGGTGGTAGTGGTGGCTGCAAGGGCAGCGGTAGCAGTGGCGGCTGCAGGGGCAGCGGCGGCAGTGGCGGCTGCAAGGGCAGCGATGGCAGCGGTAGCCGCGGCAGCTGCACGGGCAGTGGCGGCAGTAACAGTTGCAAGGGCAGCGGCGGCAAAGGCAGCTACAAGGGCAGCTGTGGCAGTGGCGGCTGCAAGGGCAGCGGCGGCAGCGGCAGCTGCAAGGGCAGTAGCGGCAGTGGCGGCTGCAAGGGCAGCGGCGGCAGGGACGACAGCGACAGCTGCAAGGTGCTGCTGGCGGCGACCTGGCAGGTGTTAAACTAAATACGCTAGGCGGCCATTAAAGTAGGCGAGAGGGTTTAGGAAGGGACAAAAAGTTACGAGAGAAAAGAGTTCGAGATTAGAAGAGAGAGGGATACAAGGAGGGGGTTATACCCTCTACCGTAGGTTTCAGTAACACCTACCAAGCCTACAATTATATATAAGATATAATTTATCACACCCCCTAGGCTTGGTAGTCTCAAGCCCACCCAACACCCAACACCCCCAAGCCTGTGCACCCCCCATGTTTTGCAGCATGAGAGGCTGCTATCCCTCGTGCGAGACGGTTCCACCCCCGGCGAGTGGCGGCAACGGCGTGAGCGGTGGCAGTGGCGGCGGCAGCGTCAACGACGGGCGGCGGCGACGGCGGCACGGCGGTGGCAGCGGCGATGGCGGCACGGCGGTGGCGGCGGTAGCGTTGACGATGGCGGCAGCGACGGCGGTGGCAACGGTGAAACTCACGACGCCCGACGGCATGGCACGGCCCGGCGACGACCGGAACTCAACATCTGCGGACGCGCACTGTTTGCGTGTACGCGCTGTGGCGAGCCCCTGTAAGGAATCGTAATTCCTTACACAGACCACCTGTCGCACAAAACAAACTTCGTAACCCAGTTTGAGCTCTAAGGGGGGGAAATTGTCAGGGGGGGCTTCTCAAAGATCATGCAACGGCCGTGCGACGCACTCTACCCTCCCAGCAGAACCACATCTCCCCGCCACGCCAAGATGCAAAGCACATTGGAATTTATTCTATGCTCGCGATCCATGGCTCCATGCGCACAATCTTCGCTTCCACGCACAGCGCGATGCCACCAATTTCGTAGTTTGTTTGAATAGTGCGGCTGAATAGCGGGTGAGATGGCCTTCCCCAAACTTACGGCGTAATGTTACCAAATATATTTATATAGATTAGCTTGGTCATATTTGTTTCTTGCCTAGCTTGTTTCGTTCTTAGCGAGTACAGCCCTAGTTTTTGTATCTCTCCACATTTTCCATTTGTCCATTCATTCTCTCAATAACCTAACATGATATAAAGCTAGGTAGTTTCCGCATCTCACGCTTCCGCTAGTGTATCGATTTTTTTTTCCGCACCTCCTGCTCTCAAATCCCCCCCTCCCCCCCCCCACCCCCAACCCCCCTTAGCGCTCGCTCGTTTTTCGTACGCCCACCAGCCGACCAACCAGCTAACTCGCTCCCTCCCTCGCTAGTAGCTAGCCGCCAGCCTGTCGTTTCGCCCTTAGCCTCCTATCTCGCTTCTGCTAGTCGCCATCAGCCCCTGCTCGCCTCTTACGTGTCTCGCTAGTCAGCTAACCGCCAGCAGACCTCGCCAGCTCGTCGCCAGCAGATCTCGCCAGCTCGCCGCCAGCAGATCTTGCCAGCGCGCCACCAGCAGAGCTCGCCAGCGTGCCGCCAGCAGAGCTCGCCAGCTCGCCACCCGCAAAGCTCGCCAGGACGCCGCCAACTGAGCCAGCCAGCTCTCCAGCACACTCGCCGGCTTGCTTGCACTAGCTGCTGCCCTTGCAGCCGCCACTGACGCCGCTGCCCTTGCAGCTGCTGCTGTCGCCACTGCCCTTGCACAGCTCGCCGCCGGCAACACCTGCCTGCTCGCCACTTGAAGCGCTAGCCTGCTCGCCGCCAGCAGTGCCTGCTGTTAAATTATATCTTATATATAATTGTAGGCTTGGTAGGTGTTACCGAAACCTATTGTAGAGGGTATAAACCCCTCCTTGTATCCCTCTCTCTTCTAATCTCGAACTCTTTTCTTTCGTAACTTTTGTCCCTTCCTATACCCTCTCGCCTACTTTCATGGCCGCCTAGCGTATTGAGTTTAACATGGTACCAGAGCAGGTTGCCCCTTACGGGACTGCTCCCCACGCTTCCGCCGCATACTCGCTCTTCTTTCGTCCCTTCCGTGCCGCCGAGGCAGCCGTGCCGAGCTGCCATGGCGGCTTCGTGGTGCTCCCGTCGCAGCCCGACACGCTTCCGTGCCGAGCTGCCACGCCGTGGCGACGTTGCCGTGCTGCCGTGGCAGCGTCGACGTGCCGCCGCGGCATCGACGCCGCGCTATGGCGGCGTCGTCATGCTTCTGTGGCGGCGTCGACGGGCGGCTGCTGGCCGCACGTCGTTTTAGGCGCCACTAGCTCACCCGCACATCAGCATCTAAGTATGCCTGAGCAGTAGTGAGGGACCTAAAGCGAGGACGCTCGGATGGGGGAAGGGCGTTGCTAATGGCAAGCTGGGCAACAGCATCGCGAGAAAGCCAGACAGAGCGCGCACGGGCAGTGGCAGCAGTAGCCTCACGCTCAGTGGGTGTGGGGTCAGCGGGCAGAATAGCAGGGGGGTCAGGCTCGGCCCTTGGTTATCACGCCAAACCAACCCCTGTCGACCTTTTCGGCCCCAACTTGACCCCGAGTCGCCCCGAACCCGTTTTGACCCCATCACCCTCGGACTATCGAGCCCTTGACTGGTCCAACCCTCGACATTCATCCTGGTCAACTCGCACTATATAAGCCATAGATCTCATTTGGATATGACATTTGTAATCACGTTCCCCTATAGTATTATGCGCTATACTCTGAGATATAATTCATAACAGTTGGTATCATAGCTACGTTCCTGCCTAGTAGGCTTCTGGTAGGGGAGCAGACCCTATCGGGGAAGCGGGCGGAAGGATGCTGATGGCGAGCGGACGTCGCGGAAATTAATTGCGCGGACATTGCCGATGCCATCAGATCCTGTCCGATGGACGGCTCGGATTGGCTGGTCCTCCCCTTCCTTGGTCGTAAACGGAATTATTTCCCGTCGAAGAGTGGACGACGTTTTCGCCGTGTTTTTCGGGTATGTTCCTTACAGCTTTCGTAATTTTCGGGTGTTCGGACGGAGTCTTCGGATCCGCTTTCGAAAAAAGCGAAGGTTTTGTCATGAGGAGACAAGTGCACGGGAGTCCTCAGGCGGCCGGGAGTTGGTCGTCAGGAGCGCGCGGGGTGGCAAAAATGGCGGGCTGTACGACGATGTACGTATGGCACACCATGCAGCGGCAGGGTGAACTGTAGCTGTGTCGCGGGTCCCGGCGTTTCCGGCAGGCTAGTTGCAGGCGATAGACGGTACTTCAAAGCTATTTCGACAATGGGTGGATCCGACAATTTCGGAACGACACGATCGCACGAAGACATGTGGGTGTGCAGTTGTGTGGGAGCAGATGAGATTAATGACCTCGGCGCTATACACCACGACGACCATCTGGAGGTGATGACGTTGTGCTGGAGTGAGTGTACTCAGCGAGGGCGACTTCTCGCGTGGGGAGGAGTTTTTCGTGGACCAGCGATTCATACCCCCGCGATCAACGGAAACAAAGGCCACCACCCTTGGATGTGTATTAAGTGTTTTTCCACTGATCGCCGAAAGCGTTAACTGCAAGGAGTTGAAGCAGTGGGAGAAGAACGACGAGAGTACTGGAGCAGATGGGTTCGCGGCGTTCGGGCCGGTGCTCGCTCAGCTACGTCACCCGAAAATCACCATCCCCACCAAGTAGCAGTGTCTACTTATAAATCGACAGCTTCTGGCTGAATAAGGGGGGTGAACCTGCGAACTACACTGTGCTGATGGAGTGTCCCCGAAATTTTCGAAGTTACTGTTGCAGTAGAGCTGATGATTTTTACCTGGTGCAACAGACGGAGGTTCCGACTTTTGCGGGTGTAGTTTGACGAGTTTCCGACGGAGGAGGGAGCTGTCTAGCGGTCAATAGGCGAGCTCGTTAAAGCTCCTCTGACTAGAAGCATGCACACTCCTATCTCTGCGGATTCTCCTAGTTGTTAAGCAGCAGCGAAGCGGTTTTGGGTAACCTGCAGCAGCCGCGAGATGGGTGAACGTCTGCACGGCCAGGTGGACAGGGGTACCAGAGTATTTTAGAGTTGGGTGACAGCCGGGTGGAGATCGACGGCGTGTGATGCGCATTGACCCTGATCGACGACCAAAACATCATGCCGAGGCGGTGGACTCCGGTAAAGCCTAAGATAAAGGGTGTCGTTCATGCGTACAGCTGGTGGAGAAACCGTGGGGGCACTGCTAAAGGACGCCGTGGCGGCTGGGCATTTTTACGGTTAGTTGTGAAGTGGAGTTACGGTATTGACTAAGTATCGAGTGGTTCCGACATTTTCGGTGAGTTTGTGGCGCAGTTTGCGCGTTTACAGCTGGAGTTGTGCCCGCTATCTTCAGGGGTACGAGCAACATCGACCGATATTCTCTGAATATTTTCGAATGCATAGAGGAGGAGAAGCGCAACAGCAGTTTCGGCTCTTCCCGAAATTTTCGGCGTGTACGGACAAAGAAGCTGATGCAACTGGCGTTATTCGACCCCATGTTTCTTTGAGGTTTTTCACTGGAGCGGGATTCGTATCGGTTACTCTCCATAGTCATCGTCGTCAGCCTCTTGTCATCACCCGGTACCACCTCCATCGCCAATTGGCCTGATTCGCCAGACCGTGTGAACACGACCCCGACTCGCCATCTGAATTAAAAACAGCAGTATTGGATTAACAGGCAATTTTGCAGCAGTACTGTGGAGCTGTGTTGGGGCCTGCTCGCACGTTGTGTTTGAATTCTGAAGATTTTTTGAGTTCATCTGGGATACTTCTGGGGCCATAATTGCGGAATTTCACGACCATTAGAGCGGTTTACCCTGAGGCGGCATTTCACATTTGGAGCATCTTTGGGAACGATAGCGGTTGGAGTTTTGCAGCGGCATCTTGGAAGATGAGTTATGGGATTTTTAGCAGCAGTGTGGGATTTTTTCGACTACCTGGAGCATTGGGTTTCCTGGAGTTCTACCTGGGAAATTGGGAGCTGTTTTCTCTTTCAAGGGGGGGAGAACTGCAGCTGTGCTGCAATTTTTCGTCAGACCTTGCAGCGTGTTCCATTAACAATTTTCGACCGACATTTGTTACCGTTACGCTTTCGCACCTGATTTCGTCACTTCGTTGATGGAGTTCGCTGACTTTCGTGGGACACGGACGCGTGCTATCGCATGTGACACGAACGACCTCGCGCGAGATAAACATGTCATTCATTTTCATCGACCATCACGTTATTCGCCCGTCATCATTTCAAGAAATTCGGCTGCCATGCGCCATCATCAATCGACGGTTTCACTGTTCATTGTCTTCCGCTGGAGTATTTACCCTTGCCCGTTCGGTCACAAGAAGAACTCGACCATATTCGACGATTGAGATTAAAAGCGATCGTTTCGACGCTTTGTGACCATCGCGTTCAGTTCGACCTCAAGACCTCGTTAGGCCGGCATAATCATTACGCTCGTCACAGGGCTGAAGACTTACAGTCACTTCGGGGATTACCGTAATCCCCCGGATATAACACCCGCTGAAATTAAGCACCCCCTGGTGTTATATCCGGGGAGGGTGTTCTATTGAAGAATCCGCAATTATACACCCTCTTTTTGAGGGTTCCAGGAGAGCACCCCCCCCCATTACATTCGAACCCTTCTACCCCTAACAATGCTGAGGGTAGAAGTGAAACAACCTTTTCGGCCCCAACTTGACCCCGAGTCGCCCCAAACCCCTTTTTTTACCCCGCCACCCTCGGACTATCGAGCCCTTGACTGGTCCAACCCTCGACATTCAAGCTGGTCAACTCGCACTGTATAAGCCCTAGGTCTCATTTGGATAGGACATTTATAATCACGTTCCCCTTTAGTATTCTGCGCTATTACTCTTTGTTATAATTCATAACAGTCGGTTTCACCACTCTTGTTCAAAACCCTTAGAACCTTGAAGTTATTACCTATGTTCTCTCGCTAGATAACGAGAGCCTCTTGCTTTTCCAACTTCATTGGGGGCTTTGTTATAGAGTGTATCTGGAATTTCCTCTTATCCGTTCACGTCAGAGAACCCACACTGCTGTCTCCCACGAATAGGCGAAAGGGCCCCCTTCCTCGCCAATCACTGAAACGCCAAGAGCGCGACGATGTGCGACATGGCCACCGATGCTTGTCGGTTTCGCCACGCCACCCAGAATTCCCAACATTTCCGAGCCGCATGTGCTGGCTTGACGGGCGACCAGAGCGCGGTTCGATATGAAATTTCTGCATTGAGATTTGGGGCCCAATAGCAGCATAGAAGCAGCAGCCAGAAAATCAAGTTCCTGCAGCCCCAAGAGCAATCAACCAACCACGACTCCAGGAAAAGGTTGCCCTGGATAGTTTCCTCCTTGCTCTCCCCACTTCTCATCTCATACCCTCCCAGACCCAGACCCGCGAGTTTCGTTCTCCCCGAAGAGTCACCCAGCACACTCTAAAACGCACACTTTCTCCCAGGGTAGCGATTTGGCCAACTCGATCCAACTCGCACTTTCCAAGCCAAGCGCCGCCGACAGCGAACGCTAGTCGCGGATAGGTGGTCGACATGTCTTGGTGGAAGCGAGGGGACGGGATGCTAGAGCGTAAACTTTAGCGGAACCCTGGGCGTCGTGTTGCTGTGCGTCACCAGGGAACGGACAGGCGGTCGACATGACTTAGTGCCACTAAGACATGTCTCAGTGGAAGCGAAGGGACGGGGAGTTAGAGTGTAGGCTTTCGCGGAACCCTGGGCGTCCCATTGCTGTAGATGCGCTAGCGTAGGGGCTTTGGGCACCATTGCTTAGCGTAGGCGCGTATACTCCTACCCGTAAGGACACGTCGGTTTGCTGATGGCAACAGTGTTAGTTTACCCGTGGGTGCTGGGGCGAGTTTTTGGTAGCCCTAGTGTTCGGCGCTGAGTGTTGAAGCTCTTAGTTCGTTGACTTAGCGCGCGTAGATGTCTCAAAACTGTTCGGGGGTGCCGACCCCTAGCTTCACCACACCGTGTGATGCCAAACGCTAGCTTCACCACACCGTGTGATGCCTAACGCTAGCTTCACCGCAGCGTTTGATACCTTCAAGCCTGGGCAATCGCGAGTTGAAGTACTCAGATAATCTCAAATGATTATGGGCGCAAAGTGCAATGCAACGGGTAGGCTCATAACCGCCGTCCGCACATTTTAGCCAGCATTCGAATTTTACGCTCCACGAAAACGGATAGGCGAATATCCGCCGTAGATTTTAGGCTGCAGATAGGGCATCAACTATCGTGCTCGAGTCTAACTTCGAAGAGCAGTTTCGCTAAGCCGTTAGGATTAGAATCACTTCGCTGTAGCTATTTTTTAGGCGCCTCAAAAATAGCTTGTCACGCCTCAAGCATCGAACGAATTAGACATCCTTAGAGCAAGCTGGTGAAGTCTGGCTAGAGGATCTCTAATTTACTGGTTTAAAGACTCTAGCCTTTGGGCGGACCTGTGTAATCGGCGCGCTTCGCAGCATCATACATTACGGTCTCAACTAAACAATGGCGATAGATGCAGTGTTCCGCTCGCCACTCTCCGTCTCGCCATACAGCAAGAGGACTGCCGATAGTAGTAGTGGTTGTCGTATGGATAGCAGCGGCAGCTTATACTCGCGCAGTGTCCTTGTAGCGAAACTGCTTATAACGGGTGAGAATGACGAGGGGAGGAGCTTCAGGAGGCGCGGGGAAGGCGTGGCGCGGAGCAGGAAGTGCAGAGTCTTTCACGGCTTGGCGCCGCTTGCCCTCGTTATAGTCGTCTCGATGAGCTTTGTAGTGCCCGCTGCTCCACTCGCGCTGAAACAGAACCCACGTACGTTTCCACTCCCTCTCGCGCTGACGCGAGTTTCCCTTCGTTTTTGAGAAAATTCAAAAACAAAACTGCTTGAGAGTTCCCTCGCATCATCCTCAACTGCTTGCAAATCCCTATGCTGCTCCTTGCTTGCTCTATGTGTTAACAATGGATGCTACATTTACCGCCCTTTCGACGGGCCATTGCTTTCCTTCCCCACCCGTCCCCTTGGACGGGCGTACCCTTGACCTCGCACCGCCTCTGAAGCTCGTGCCATTCCTTTATGAAGCCCGTTGTGTAATCCACATATCGTTCCAAAAAGCATCCTCGTTACAGGCGGGCTTTCCTACCTTTTCTTTTCTTACAGGCGTGTGTGACTATGCGACGGGGAGCTGGGTACCCGCTCCGATGGGGTTCCCTCGTTACAGCGGCGTCAATTCGACGAGGCGCTACCAGTGCAAATACATGCGCGCGCTTTGGAATTGCGACGGCACGGGCAGACCGGATTATATCTACCGCTCGTACCGCTGGCAGCCGCAGGGGTGTAATCTCACCTACATCAACCCGTGGGGATTCCTGCGACTCATGCGAAACAAGGTGAGCGACGTGGGAACGAAACATACGAAATTGGTAATCGGCTCGTACCAGTGGCATCCGCAGGGGTGTAATCTCACCTACATCAACCCGTGGGGCTTCCTGCGACTCATGCGAAACAAGGTGAGCGAAGAGTTTCGCAGCCAAAGGTTGCATCGTGAACCCATCTAGCTTGTTGTCTAGAATGCATGGTTCGTTACACAGTAAACCCCCCCCCCTCCAACCCCGCCACCGCCTCTCCGCCATTCCCCCCCACCCCTTCCCCCCCCCCTCCCCTCCCCCCCTCCCTCCCCTCCCCCCCCTCCTTCCCCTCCCCTCCCCCCCCCCGCCCCCCCGCCTCCCTCCTCTACACCCACCCCCCTCGTCGTTTCGCCGTTTCTTGCGGGCGGCGCTGCTGCTACAGTACATCCGTGATCATCACACTTTTTTTTCTTTTTTTTTAATGTGTTTGTTTGCCCCAAATTCTTGTGTCCCCGTTACAGAAACTTTTGATGGTGGGGGATTCGATCATGGGAAACATGTACGAGTCGCTGCTGTGCCTGATCACCTCTGGACCCTTCAGGCATAAGGTGAGTCCGAGATGTGTGTGTGTGTGCGTGCGTGTGTGTGTGTGTGCATGTATGTGTGTGTATGAGTGTATGTGTGTGCGTGTGTGTGTGTGTGTGTGTGTGTATGAGTGTATGTGTGTGTGTGTGTGCGTGCGTGTGTGTGTGCGTGTGTGTGTGTGTGTGTGTGTGCGTGTGTGTGTGCGCGTGTGTGTGTGTGTATGTGTATGTATGTGTATGTGTGTATGTGTGTGTGTATGTGTGTTTGTGTGTGCGTGTGTGCATGTGTGTGCGTGCGTGTGTTTGCATGTGCGTGTATGCATGTGTGTGTATACATGTGCGTGCATGTGTGCGCATGCGTATGCATGTGTGTGCATGCGTGTGCTTGTATGTGCATGTGCGTGCATGTATGCGCATGTGCGTGCATGTGTGTGCATGTGTGTGCATGTGTGTGCGTGTGTGTGCATGTGTGTGCATGTGTGTGCATGTGTGTGCGCATGTGCTCTCCCCTCCAAACCCTTCCTGCAGAATGCGAATCTACCCCCCCTCCCTTGCCCCCTCTCCCCCCCCCCCCTCCTCCCTCCCCCCTCCCCTCTCCTCCTTCCCATCCTTCTACAAAGCGAGCTACAGAACGCCCAGCAGCGCTCGTTTCCACAGCTTTTACTTCAAGATTCGCTGCTACTTGCTGCCACACCCGACCCTTCCCTCCCCCCCTTTCCCCACCCTGCATTTCACTCTCCCTCTCTCCCCATTTCTCCCAACCCTTCCCAACCCTTCCCAACCCCCTGTGCTCTTTGCCTCCGTTCTCTTCCATTACCCTCCTCCCAGAAAGTGAGCTACGGAACGCCCAGCGGTGCTTTGCTTCCACAAGTTGTCGTTTCCCGGCTTCCACTTTTGAGCGTCACTAAAACTTTAGATTCGACCATGACAATCCAACTCACTCGTTTCCCAGCTTCCACTTTTGAGCGTCACTTCTACTTCCTACCGCACCCCATCCTTCTCTCCCCCTCTCTCCAGGTTTCAACCAGAACGGCAAGAAGGGCAATAAGGGGTATCAAATCCCAATTACCTCTCCCCTTCCTCTGCTCTTCCTCTCCCCTTTCTGTGCTATTACCCTTTCAGAGAGTGAGTTACCGAACGCCCAGCGGCGCTCGTTTCCTGGGCTTCCGCTTTGAGGGCCATTACTACTTCCTGCCGCACCTCATGCGCTCCTCCCCTCCTCTCCTATCTTCACCCTCCCCTTCCCCCCCTCCAGAAAGTAAGCTACCGCACTCCCAGCGGAGCTCGTTTCCGCGGGTTCTCCTTCCCGGGCTTTCACTTTGAGATTCACTACTACTTCCTGCCGCACCTCATGCGCTCCTCTAAAGGCTATAACGAGGATGGCAAGAAGGGCAACCACGGGTATCAAATCGATGTGGATATTATCGACCCCGATCTGCTGCACGTCATTCCTGCTTATAACGGGATTATTTTCCACTCCATGGCGTGGTGGATGCGGAACGTTCCTGGAAGGAGCAAGGGCAACAACTACTTTCGCGGCGGGCAGGCGGTGGAAATTTCTGACACGGACGCGTACCGTGAGGCCATGCACAACCTTGGGCAGCACCTGAAAAACATCGACTACCCGGGCGTGCCGTATTTCGTCTCCGCATCTCCAAAACATTACGACCCGCCCCGGAATTCCACGAAGCTCGGTGCTTGTGGTGCCACATCCGTTGTTAAAGCCTCCGTTGCGCAACTATACCCGACCACGCAGGAGACCGAAGCCTTTTACGCGATGCAGAAGCTGTCTTTAACGGGTACAGGCAGCCCCATGCGGCTGCTGCGCGTTACCAGACTCAGCGCTACTCGTCCCGACGGGCACCTGGGACTATGGAGCGACGACATTGTGAGAAACCCCGAGTTTTCGGACCTTCAGAAGCGGATGAGCAAGTGGCCAGGGGATTGCACCCACTGGTGCTTGCCGGGGGTCCCTGACGCCTGGGTTGATCTGTATTATACTAATGCGTTGCTCGAGCCGACTTTCTTGCAGTTGGCGAATGCACCGTCGCCCCCGGAGGTGGCGGGAGGAGGGAAGAGGAATGGGACGAAGGGAGGGGAGCAGAAGAAGCCAGTGCAAGGGGGAGGAGGGGGGGTGGGAGGAGGTGGGGGAGGGGGAGGAGGAGGAACAAAGAGTGGAGGAGGAGTGGGTGGAGTGGGAGGGACCGGGGGAGGAGCTGGGGTGAACAGGACAGGTGGCAAACCCCCTACCGTCAGCCCCCCTGTGGTCAAGCCACCTGTTGTCAAGCCACCTGTGGTCAAACCGCCTGTAGTCAAGCCACCTGCGGTTACACCCCCGACAGTCAACCCTCCTACAGTAAACCCACCAATAGTCAAATCACCAATAGTAGATCCGCCTACAGTCAAACCCCCTTCAGTCAATCCTCCTGCTGTCAAGCCACCAGCAGCAAAACCGCCAGTTGTGAAACCACCGGCAGCAAAACCGCCTGTCATAAAGCAGCCAGGTGTCAAAACCCCAGAGGCGCCAGGTGTCATTCAGCCAGGTGTCAAAACCCCAGTGGCTCCAGGTGTCAGGCAGCCAGGTGTCAAAACCCCAGTGGCTCCAGGTGTCAAGCAGCCAGGTGTCAAGCAGCCAGGTGTAAAGCAGCCAGGTGTCAAAACCCCAGTGGCGCCAGGTGTCATTCAGCCAGGTGTCAAAACCCCAGTGGCTCCAGGTGTCAACCAGCCAGGTGTCACGCCACCATTGGTCCGCCCTCCTGCCACTTCCCCTGCTCCAAAAACACCTGTCAGGGCACCTGTTGGTCAGAAAACACCTGGGGCAGCACCTGCTGCTCCAAAGCCTCCGTTGAAAGCACCTGCAGGTGGAAACCCGCCGCAGATTGTAGCACCTGGTGGCGTAACCTCTCCGGGTGTAGTGCGATCTCCAGGAGGGAAAATAGGTGTTGTAGGAAGGTGGGGGCGAGGAGCAGGCGGAACAGGAGCAGTAGGAGCAGCAGGAGGAGCAAGTGGGGAAGGAAGAGGATCGAGAGTAGGACAAGTGACAAATAATAGCACCAAGACCAGCGTGGCAAATACTCCTTGGTCAATTTACACGAGATACTCGTAGTGGAATAGTTGGCTAGAAGGTAAAATCATTAAAATAAGGAATGCGCCACAGCCATTTAGCTAGTAATAATTATGTAATGACATTATTTAATTTCATGAGTTGCTGAAGAGCTCTATAGTGTAAGGAATTGCGCTTCCTTACTGGGGCTCGCCACAGCGAGTACACGTGAACCTCTCGGTTCCGCAGGCTCGGCCCTCAATGTCAGAAACCCAGCCACTAACCACTGGGTTAAAAGGGCTTGTTAAATAGCGGGTACGTGCGTCCATAGCCCCCCAGGCTCTGCACCTGTGGCCCTTCTCCGAGGATCTCAAGGGCAACCCCAGGGGGTCACTCAACACTCAAGTCACGCGCCAAACCAGCCCTCGTCGACCTTTTCAGCCCCAACCTGATCCCGAGTCGCCCCCAGGGTCCTCAGCAGACAAAATCCGTCTGTTTTGTTAGAATACTAGAATCTAGGTAGGAGTAGGAGCCATGAATGGCGTGAGGTTTAGGAAGGAGAAATTGAAGAGAGAGAGAGAGAGAGAGAGAGAGAGAGAGAGAGAGAGAGAGAGAGAGAGAGAGAGAGAGAGAGAGAGAGAGAGAGAGAGAGAGAGAGAGAGAGAGAGAGAGAAAGAGGAATATAAGAGAGGGATACAAGAAGGGGGGTTGTACCCTCTACAGTAGAATCCAGTAACCCCTATCTAGCCTACCATAATATATATCTCAAATATATAATTTCACACACCCCCTAGGCTTGGTACCTGAAAGCCCACCACACACACAGCACACTAAGCCACACACCCCCTAGCACCCCCATACTCAGCAGCAGCGACGGCTACTCCCGCATGGTCAACCCCACGGTGCGTGAGCCGGGGCGACGGCGACAGCAAGGGCAGTGGCTGCAACGACGGCAACGGTGGCAGCGTCGACAGCGGCAGCGGCGTGGCCAGCGGCACCAGCTGCGGCGGCGGCGGCGGCTTCGACGACAGCTGCCGGCGGTGGCGGAGCTCGCAGCACTTGGCGGCGTGGCCGGGCTCCGCAACAGTGGGATGGCCGGCGCGAGTCAGCCGTCGGCTGCGGCGAGGAAGAGGGTACGCAGGGGAAGGAGGGGGGGGGCGGGGCTTTAGCAGTGGAGCCCGGGAGCGTGCCGCCCCGTGTGGCGTGCTGGCTGCATGCGGGCGTGCTGGCCAGCGCTAAGACGGGGCGCTGGCCGCTGCCGACCGCGCCATACGCGAGCTGGCAGCACGTCGCCACGGCAGCACGACGGCGCCGTCACGCCGCCACGTCTCGACACCGACGGCGCCGCCACGGCTTGACGTCGACGCCACGACGGCACGACGCCACAGCAGCGCGTCGAGACGGCAGCGGCAGCACGACGCGGCCGGCGGCACGACGCCGCCGCCACAGCAGCACGACGCATCCGCCATGGCAGCGCGAGAGAGAAAGGGCGAGTACGCGGCGGAAGCGTGGGGAGCAGGCCCGGGAGGGGCAACCTGCTTTGGTACCATGTTAGAATACTAGAATCTAGGTAGGACTAGGAGCAATGAATGGCGTGAGGTTTAGGAAGGAGAAATTGACGAGAGAGAGAGAGAGAGAGAGAGAGAGAGAGAGAGAGAGAGAGAGAGAGAGAGAGAGAGAGAGAGAGAGAGAGAGAGAGAGAGAGAGAGAGAGAGAGAGAGAGAGAGAGAGAAGAGGAATAGAAGAGAGAGGGATACAAGAAAGGGGGTTGTACCCTCTACAATAGAATCCAGTAACACCTACCTAGCCTACCATAATATATATCTCAAATATATAATTTGACGTGTTTGTCTTATTTTTAAACGCGATTTTTCGGTTTCTTCTTATTTTTCAGACGTCCAAAAATAGAAATTACGATGCCTTAGAAATTGAATTTTAGTACTTCTGTTTTCGAGGAACTATGTACTTGTTCTTATGACGTTTCAGGCTTAGCGATTCTGCTCGTCTGTGAGCGGTTGCTGTATACGGCCCCCCTCTAGGCTGTGTAAGGGGCTACTTCGCCCTTAAACCAAAATTACTGCTTGCTTCGTTTTCTAGGTTGTGTGAGGGGCCTGATTGGCCCTTTACCAAATTCCATGCCATGTGTGCTGGAGCGCGATTGATTGGGCTGATTGGCCCTTCGGGCATATAGACGCTTCGTGGGCGGACGACGTTGAGATGCTCAGGTCCTCTCAGGGCTATTACTTTAGCCTTGGTGCAAGCGCTGTCTCGTGGAGGTCCACCCGCTCGTCGTCAGTTGCACAATCTAGCTGCGAGGCTCAAATCTACGCTGGTGCCGTGGCGGCACAGGAGCTTCGCTGGCTGACGTTTTTGCTCACAGACTTAGGTGAGCGGCCTAGCTCTGCCCTGGTCCTGTACGTTGACAATAGGGCCATGTTCCTCTTGTGCCAGGAGCCTCGACTGGAGGGCAGAGCGAAGCACATCCAGTTGCGGTACTTCCTCGTGCGCGAGCTGCAGCAACGATGCCAGGCCCGCGTAGTTCACTTGCCCTCCGGTGCCAATACAACGGCACTGTGTACAGCTTGGTCTAGTTTCAGTAGCTCCTCACTTGCTATGACCTTGATTGCGTACTACTCTTATTATATTCTCCTGGCTGGCCTTGTGGCTTTTGCTCCAGTAGCCGGACTAGTAGTGCCGCATTGGTTTGCTCTTGTCTTGTTTTTACTCTTCTAACTGGTCTTCCGACCCTTGCTTCAAAGGTTGGACTAGTTATGCCACCCTGAGTTGCGTGTCTCTTGCCAGGCATCGCCCCTTGTCTAGCCTTGGGGGTGTGTCAACATATATTTGTATATGTTATAGGCTAGATAGGTGCTTGCTCATAGAGGGTACAACACCATAGCACAAAACCTCCTTGTATGGCACAATCTAGTTCATTGCGTTATTCTAAGGGCGGGTCCCAATAGTTCATTTCACGGTACGGGACACGATTTTACGAATCACGGTACAAATCCCTGAAACGATTCCGTTTCCGTAAATCTTTGTAATTGTGTTCCTGTGCGCACGTAGCGTACAAGCGGGACGCCAATTGTCCACATATGAAAAAACCGAGCTGCGCGCAACAGCCCCAAACACAGTAACCAAATGTAAGCCTGCGCGAAACATAAGTTTCGCACACCGTGCAAAAGACAGCAGGCGGGGAAACCCATCCCGCTATTGCAAACATTGGCAGCGAGGAGCCAGGGGGGCCAATGTTCTCGGCGGGGCCTCTTGTTTTCTGGGGCTTCTTGGGCGGGTGGGGGTGGGGAAACTAGAAACTCACCCCATTCTGTCGGCGCAGAGTGGTCCAACTAGTGGCGCGTTCGGTTGCGGATGCGGTATGGCGTCACGCGCGCAGATGTATTCGCGACGTCGCCCGGTTTTCGCCATCGCCAGCGGGGCGATATCCAGGCGTGACACACTTGGAACCTCGTCCCCGAATCTTGCACCTTCCGGCTTTTTTACGTTTGCAATCCGAAATTTGGTACATGGCCCGACGCATGTGAAAGGTGTCCCAGGTTACGTCAATATTTCAGACGTGTCCTGGCGAAACCTTAAACAAGGTGTCGCTTGTTAAAATCGGGTTACTTTGCACGAAATGAATAGAACGTGAACTATTGGGACCCGCCCTAACACTAATTCCTTACAAGGTCACTATGATTTCTAGAGTGACGAGAGAATCCACCCATGTTTTAAGAGCAGTGAAATCCCAAAGAAGAAATCATGCTGAAGTTTACCGTTTCAAATGCTTGAGGGTGAGAGTGTTTCAATATTTTCGAAGGAACACTACGTGTGTGATTATCTATGCGTTCTAAAGTATCTCAGTATTTGTGATACATTTATCTCTAGTGTGGTGTTCTGCAGTCTTATTCGACCTTTCAGTAAAGCGGTCTGACACAAAGTCCCGCGACAAGGGGACGTGAAAGGTTCCAAACCTCCCGTGACTTTTCTGACGCGACCCGTATCCCAAGCCAGAGAAGTCTGGATGGTGGTCAGAGTAGGTTCCAGACTTGCGGCACGGATCTTGCTCACGGGATGCCAAGGTCATGCTGACCGTCCAAAACAAACGTCCGAGGTTTCGAGGTCAAACAGCAGGGCAGGCGGACTTCCCAGGTCCAGTCCAGACTAAACAACATCTGGATGCCTGGTTTTCACCTGCCCGTAGGGGAACATTGCGGCGGGAAAATTTATAGCGCCACGAAACGAACCGCATAAGCTCGGTGCGCATGGCTGCAGCCCTTCTCGCCGAGTCCTTGTCATGGCATCTCGAATGTTGGACTGAATGCCGCGCCCCGCCGAGATAAGAAAATTTCCAAGCCCACGGCACTAGGAGCTGAGGGCTTCAAAGACTCGCTTTTCTTTCGCGGGACTGTTTTGGTGGAACGAAGGCAAAGCAGTCTGCCAGAACATTCGTAGCAGTGCAGGCTACGAGTACATGATGCATGCCTTGACTGCCGTTGCTGGCGTTTCTCTCCGTCCATTTCCGTTACGCTCCATCCACCCATGCATGGCTCTCTGCCCCCGTGGCCCACTTGATGCGACGGAGACTACTGTATTGTTTCTTGAGCTGTGGCTCTGCTAAACGAGTCCGCACGCACGTAGGCCTTTCCCTGCTGAACCTCTCATTCTCTCCCTCCGTGGCAACGCACCCTCTTTTTCTCTCCCTTTCCGCTCGCTGCTCGCCTAAGTTACGCCTCCTCGTACCCTTCCCGAAATGAGAAGTTCGAGCTTCACGAGCTATCAAGTTCAACCAAGCGCTCGCATCGCGGCCTGACGCTAGCGCGGGTCACTGCCAACGAGGGGAAAGAGAGCAATCTTCTAGTTGCTACTGTCCCTCCTCTCCCCAGTTTTTGCGCAGCCACATCCAAGCAGTCTGAAGCGGGATTTTGGGTCTCATCCCTGCGACTTTTAGCACTCTCACTCGACTTGGTTTCCCTAGAATGGTCCTATGGTGGTACCTTAGAAACAGCTTGTTGACTTATTCGAGGGAATCGTAGTTTTATAAGTCCTGGGCTCGACTCATGCTTCGAGTGGAGGAGAAAGTCGTACATGCAAAGTAGTACCTGCGCAATAGGAGGTGGTTCTTGTAAGCATTCGCTCAGTCCCTAAGCCTGCTCGTTAGAGAGCGACCCGAAGCAGCTGCTAGGAAATTGTACCAGAATAGAAGGCGATGGGCTGGCTGAGTTGTTGCGGAGACGCTTCTAGCGCGGACGATCTCCATCATAGATGGCGAAAGGCGTCTTCAGGGCGCACCGCCGTCACAAATCCAAAAGTTGCTCCCGACATTGTCGAAGGTGCGCTTAACGAGTACTCCTTACAATCACAACAGCCAGCATCCCGTCCAATCTTTGACCCGTGCCTCACAGTCACAATAGTCCTCGTCCGCCTCCCGCTCTTGACCGTTCTCGGCCTTTTGACAGTCTATGAACTTCGCGCCCGCAAGTACAGCCGTTTGTGTCTTTTGAGAGGATGCTAAGTAAAGGCAGCTCGCTCAGAACCGAGACACGAAGCACCGCTTCCTTTCTTAGCTCTGTGCTTTTCGCTTGCCTGCCTTTTGAGTCGACTCAAAAAGTCACTCCGTGCCTCGCCTTCGCAGGTATGACTCCATCACCCTCTTCTAGAAATGGAGAAGACGAAAGGTCTCATGGCGAAACTGCGACTAAGGCCGACGCGTCGCTCCGCACGGACCGAAGTGCGAACTCGCCAGAGCAGGATCAGTCGCAGCAGCAGCCAGTAAGCGGCAGCAGCAGCAGCAGCGCCAGCGGCAGTGGCGGCGGCACCAGATCGATTCAAACTTCGTCTGTCTCCCGGAGTGAGGACGGGGGAGCAGCGGTTCCGTCGGGTGGGGAGGCCGGGGTGACGGAATCTGGAACGGAGAACATTAACGGCCAAACTTCTGCTACAGCTGCAGCCGCCGCTTCCGTTGATGGCGAAATGCGAAAAACAGACGGAGAGTCGCACGCGAGCGATCCAACGTCGCAGCCGTCGCAGCCGGTGCCGTTTAATCCTCTAGGAGGGGTAGCACCGTCGATCGCCGCGCAGACGTTCACGTTTCGCGAGCTCGAGCGGGCGACAGGCGGGTTCTCCAAAAAGAACTTCGTAGGAGAGGGAGGATTTGGGCGCGTTTACAAGGGAAAGCTGGAGTCAACTGGCCAGGTGAGTCCTTGGTACCGAGATGACTTTTGAATCAACGCAAAAGTCCTCGTAGCGGAGGGGTTTCCAAGGGAAGCTGGAGTCCACTGGCCATGTAAGTCGTTCGCTCCTAAGAATGTGCTCTGGTGCTGCTGGTGCTGCTGGTGCTGCTGGTGCTGCTGGTGCTGCTGGTGCTGCTGATGCTGCTGATGGTACAGCTGGTGCTGCAGGTGCTGGCGCTGGCGATGCTCCTGCTGTTTTTATTTTTATTTTTTAGTGTTGCCCTGTGAGACGTATCACTGGGTTTTGACGAGTTTATGTAGAGAGGGCTAAGCTTGAAGGTCAGTTAGGCTGTTTAAACGCGGAAAATTGCTGCCAAATACAGCGTACCCGTGCTTGTTGGCTCGAGCTCACGAACGTCGGTAATCCCTAGGTGCGTAAAATGCTGACGAGGGGGGGCAGGAAATGGAAACCTGCCCAAACCGGGCTGGATCTGGAATTCCGAAACTGAGTCGTGAGAGGCCGAGCCCGTCTGCACGGCAGGAAATACTATGCATGGACGGTTGACGGATAATTTTCTGTGCACCTGCCGGCTTGCAGTTTCCGCACTAAATTGTTTCCAAGATTCCGCTTATTTTGTATAAGTGAGATGATTGCTGGATGCCAACGTGCCTGATTGTCGTAGTGCGTTCGTTGGTTCCAGGGCCTGACGACATTTGTTCCGCCACGTTCCCGCTATTGTGCTTTCCGATTTCAACAGATCGTCGCCGTGAAACAACTCGACCGTAACGGGATGCAAGGCAACAGAGAATTTCTCGTGGAGGTGCTCATGCTGTCGCTGTTACACCACTCGCACCTCGTGAACCTGATTGGTTACTGCGCCGATGGCGATCAGCGGCTATTGGTGTACGAGTTCATGGCGAACGGCGCGTTAGAGGACCACCTTCATGGTGAGAACCCACAGTTCATACATGTACAATTATTGTTGTCACATATTTTATACACATCCTTACTATTGCTTCCAGTTAGACACATTTTACATAGGCACTGATGGCTGTCTATTGTTGCCAGTAACACAAGCTAGTCTGCAAATCGCCTGTTCCATCCGTCCATTTTTCCCGTCTGTTGTATTTTTATCGTCTTCTGATGTTGTTTCCGTCCGTACGCGTTACTGGCAGACTTGCCGGAGGGAAAAGAGCCGCTGGAATGGAACATGCGGATGCACGTCGCTGCAGGAGCGGCTAAGGGTCTCGAATATCTACACGTAAAGGCGAACCCTCCAGTAATTTATCGCGATTTCAAATCGTCGAACATTCTTCTCGACGAATCATGGCATCCGAAACTCTCCGATTTCGGCCTCGCGAAACTGGGCCCCGTCGGCGACAAAACGCACGTTTCTACGCGAGTTATGGGAACGTACGGGTACTGTGCACCGGAGTACGCTATGACGGGTCAGCTTACAGTGAAGTCGGACGTGTACAGCTTCGGTGTAGTGCTTCTGGAGTTGATTACGGGGCGCAGGGCAATTGACATGCGGAGGCGGCACGGGGAGCACAATCTCGTCGCCTGGGTAAGCCACGTGGGAGTCAGTCGTTTCATGGGTGCGTGTGGGGGTTGTGTGGTTGCGGGGTGTATGAGCGAGGGGGTGGGATGGGGAGAGATGAGGGGGGGGGGGTTGAAGAGGGGGGTAATGCTCCTGCTTGTATGCCTTGTATGCCTAATGCAATATATACGGATCGGTAGACCCCTCGGGAACTCCGGGGTCTACCGACCAGTATATATACCCCAATCTGTATATTGTCCTGCAGCTGTCAGCAGAGGCATGCACGTTCCTTCACAGTCCCCCCCCCCGCCCCCCGCCCCCCCCCCCCCCCCCCCCCCCCCCTTTTTTTTTTTTTTTTCTTTCTAGTCTTTGTATCCCGCCCTAAGTTAGTCCTCCTTCCCTCCCCCATTGCCTTTCCAGGCGCGGCCGCTATTCAAGGATCGGCGGAAGTTCCCCGCTATGGCGGACCCCGGGCTTAGAGGGCGCTACCCCATGCGCGGGCTGTACCAGGCTCTGGCGGTCGCCGCCATGTGCCTGCAGGAACAGGCCGCCCAGCGACCCATGATTGGCGATGTCGTTACCGCATTGAGCTACCTCGCCAACCAGCCGTTTGACTCAGAGAAGATTTCAAGGTGAGTATGGTTAGCGGGTGGAGGGTAGAGAGCGACAAAGGCTCTGCCAAAATGCGCAAGGCGTTTTGTTCAGTCTACAGTTCGCTACACTCAATGATTTCTAAACTGCCTTCATTGTGTGCGTTGGCTAAATGCTGTCACTATGCCTTCAACCTGCAAGAAACACACACTGCAATACAACCTGACCCCCAGGCTCACCTTCGCTCCCCGTTCCATTCCCTCCCCTGTTCTTCTCCAATCGCAGGCTGCCACCTGGCACGCCTCAGCACAACGCAATGGACCGCCGAAGCAACTCAAGCGGGGGCGGAGGGGGCGGCGGAGGGGGGGGGAGGAGGGGGAGACCGCAAGGGCTCCCGCTCCCCCGCCCCTCACCACCATCACGGCAGCGTGAGGCGTTCAGCCCTGTCCCCCATGCAATCCCCAGATGTGAGGCACATGCACCATAACCACCACCACCCCCTCAACCACCACCGGTTCTCAGAACGGGGCGAGGAGGATGGAGGAGGGGGAGTTGGTGTTGCTGGTGGTGGTGCTGTTGGGTCAGCTAGCCCGATGAGAGTGAGGGGTGGAGGGGGTTACAGGGAGGCGCCGGTAGGGTATAGGGAGAGCCCGGGACATGGGGTGGGGAGTGGGGGCAGGACGCCCAAAAACCAGAAGGGGGGGTATGGGGAGAACTGGCGGGCGAGAGGAGGTGGAGGGGAGGAGAGAGTGGGTGGAGGAGAGGAGGGTAGGTGAGAGGCGGTGAGGGTAGTGGGGTGAGTTGGCGCACCATTCTCTCAGTTAGAGCATCGGAATGCATGTAGTGAGGGCTCGTTATGGGTTGGTGAAGGGCACAAGGACGAGTTTTGGAGTGCCATGGTGCCATGGAGAGGCAGTGAAGGAGACACATCCCGATGCACGTATTTTGGCAGGGCACGGATTTCAGCAGAGAAGAAGTGGATTTGAAATGGCGGGGGCAGCCAAGCCAAGGGGGAGCTAGTGTGGCAACAGAGCGTCCACATGACAAGCACGCTCAGGCAACAGGTCCTTTCTTAAAACATGTAACTCGCTTGTTCTCGTTCTACGCTCAACCTTCAGGAAAAACCGGTTGTTTAGATAGTGTTCAAGCCTGGTCGTTTCTTGCATAAGCAGGCCTACTCGTCATGCTATCAGAGGGTATAACTGAAGTTCGGATGTGAAGTAGTTCTATGTGGATCCACAGTAGCAGTGCTAGCTTTTGTGGAGTGCTGGATGTGGAGTAGAGGGTGTGATTTGTGTTGTGGTTTATCTATGCTTTCAGGCACAAACAGCTCAAGATGTTATGGTATTTCATTTCTCTTGAATATCGTTTGTCCCTTCAAACATTTGTAGCCGTTGTGGGTCGCCTAACTACCCATATCAAAACCACATGTGGATGAAGTCAATATAGATATTGAAAAAGTGATGCTAATTTGTTCAAATGGAAGACGTAAAATTTCCTCCAAATTTTATAGTGTACTGCTTTCAGTGCAATTCAGCCTGATGATTACATGATCGCCTGTTTTGTTTGGTCTTTTGTCGTGCCAATCAGCCCCGAGGTTCGGGCACTGTTCTCGCCCTGGGAACACCGACCATCCTATGGCGTGTAGCTTGTCCTGGTCCAGCATCCCATCCCATCAACCATAACCGTTGGCGAGAATCTTGGCGAGCTCAGCGAGGAAGAGTTACCTTCCTAAAAAACATTGATGAGGGAGCTGCCGAGCTTGACGACAGAAGGTAACTTTCGCAGCGATCGCACAGAACGAGGCTGTTTGTTCGTGGCCCATGTTGTGTCACGAGTCACGACGATCGGTTGAGCGCCCACATCAGCCGTATCATGTCATGACAGACAGGCACTTGTGCCAAATCAGTCCAATGCTGCTGCTAGAGGTTGTTTCATTGTCAGGCGGCCTAGTTGGTAGGGTTGTACAGGTACAATACACTAATTAGTCCTAAAGCTTGTAAGGCCATTTCGCCTGTCCGTGGCCGATCGTCTGCACTGCACCCGTCAGCGTGTTGCTGCAATCCTGGGTCCTGGCGTCACATCAGCTTAGTTCGTTTTTCGTCATTTTCTGCGTCGCTCCGTCGCGTTATCCGTTTTGGCACGAACGTTGCAATGCTCCCATTCGTGCAAACTCGTACTCGCTTTCCAAGACCCGCGTCCTCTCGTGAAGCTGGGTGTTTCTGTTAACTCGTTTTGCACCGTCGTTTGTCAATCGACGGTTCAGGAGCTACGCTATTTCGCCGACTCCATAGCTGACCCTAGGCTTCTCCAACGGCACCTAAAGCTCCGTCTGATGGGGAACACCTTCGCGATATGAAATGCTGCAATCCGGAGGACTGCCACGTCAGCACTGGCATTGCCACGCATTGTTGCTGCTGCCAACATATTCGTCTTCGCTCCGGAAATCCTCCCGCCGAAACTTCTCCTCGCCCTCCACCTCCTCATCCTGAAAACGCTACGATGACGTCATCATCGGTGTCGTCGACCCCTAGGTCCGGCGTGTTTCAACATCCCTTCCGCAGCCCTCAGGTCAACATCTTCTCCCGGACCTTCCGCAGCAGTCCGCAGCTCAACCCCTTCTCCCGAACCTTCAGCAGCAGCCCTGCGAGCAGCAGCGTCATCTCGACTCGTTACAAGCGGTCTCGCCGACGATGGAACACGGTCTCGCATATCCTCCCGTTATCATGTTTCGGTAATGAGGATATGACATTAGACGACGATCCTCCACCACCTGACGAAACCCCCACGCCTACTAGGTCCGGCACGCCCAGGTCTGGCACGCCTAGGTCCGGTAGGTCTTGGTTCGGCGCGTCTAGGTCCGGCACCAAAGCTGATCCCGTCCCCGAACTTGTATTAGAGCTTCGGGAACGAGGCTGCGCTTCCGAACCTCCTCCTCCTGGGACAGAGATAGCGAAAGGTTTGAGTTCAGCGAGTAGGGATGTGGAAGTAACGAGTAACTATGTTGGGGTAACGGGTAACCATGTTGGAGTAACAGGCGAAACGATGGCTGAGACATGGGTTTCGGGGAGTAAAGGGGAAGGCAGGCGGGACGACGAGGCGGAGGGGAATGGGACTGCTACGCCAGGCGTGTCGAGCTCGGAGCTTGAACGCTCGGGGATAGGGGCGTTACGGGTGCAAGCAGGGGAAGCGGAAGCAGGGGAAGCGGAAGCAGGGGAAGCGGAAGTGTCACTTGCTACTCCAGGGTTGTTGAGTTCAGAGGTTGAACGCTCGGGGATGGGGGTGTTGCGCGCGCACGAAGGCGGCGCGGAAGAGCCACAGGCGGAAGCAGGGGGCGCGGAAGCGTCACTTGCGGAAGCAGGGGATGGGGAACCGTTACACGGGGGAGCACGGGAAGCGGAAGCACCACGGGCGGAAGCAGGAGAAGCGGTAACGGCACAGAAGGAAGCAGGGGAAACGGAAACGCTACAGGGGAGAGAAGGGGAAGCGGAAACGCCACGGGCGGAAGCAGAGAACGCGGAAACGCCAGAGACGGAAGCAGGGGAAACGGAGGCGCTACAGGGGGAAGCAGGGGAAGTGGAAATGCCACAGGCGGAAGCGGGGGACGCAGGAACACCACAGGCGGAAGCAGGAGAAGCGGAAACACCACAGGCGGAAGCTGATGATGATGTCGGTGGTGGTGCTGCTGCTGCTGATGGTGCTGATGCTGCTACTGCTGCTGAAGGTTCTGCGTTTGCTGCTGCTGCTACTGCTTCTGCTTCTGCTGCTGCTGCTGCTGCTGCTGCTGCTGCTCCGGTAGCTGATGACGTGGCTAAGGCTGTGGCAGTTGAAACTTGTCAAATTTCAATCACACCAGCAGGCGAAGCAGCAGCCTTTCGTACAGAAAGCACTGTAGCTCTAGAGGTAGGTACGCCTGTAGATGTCGAGTTGGATGAAACGGTACCATCTGTTCCGAACGACACTGCAGCTGTAGCTTTAAACGAGAGTGAATCTGTGGTTATAGGCGAGAGTGCAGTTACCGAAGAGAGTGCTTCTGTAGCTGTCGAAGCGGGCAAACCTGTGGCATCTGCTCCAGGTGGCGCGGTGACAACGGTTGTAGGTTTAGAAGAGAATGCAGCAGAACGAGAGGGATGGGTCGGACGTGCAGTTGCCAAAGAGAGTGATTCTGCGGCTGTCGAAGCGGGCAAACCTGTGGCATCTGCTATGGGTGGCGCGGTGGCAAAGGTTGCAGGTTTAGAAGGGAGTGCAGCAGAACGAGAGGGATGGGTCGGACGTGCAGTTGCCAAAGAGAGTGATTCTGTAGCTGTTGAAGAGAATGATTCTCTAGCGGTTGAATTGAGCGCAGCAGAAGGAGAGGGATGGATGGATGGGATGGAGAGGAACGGGTTGGGGCTTAACCGGAGCTCGTTCTCTCCTTCTCCTCCTCCCCCTCTTGGTGCACCTTCACGCTCGGTACAATCACACCCCACAGACTCGATTTCTCCTGAGCCGCGCGTGCCGCATGCACACACGCACCCGTCTCATTACCTATCCCAAACGCTAGACGCACCATCCCCAGAGCCGCGTGTGCCGCACTCACACACGCACCCTCCTCATCACCCTTTCCAGATGCCAGACTCGCCCTCCCCTGAGCCGCGCGTGCCACACTCCCACACGCACCCACCTCGCCAGCAGCCCCCAACCTTCCACTCCCAGATCTCTCTCTCCCTATCAGACGCTATTCCCGTCTCCTCCCCCGTTTCCGCCTCCTTCCCTGCTCCCGCCTCCTCCCCTCCTGCTCGCAATGCTCTTACCAATCTTTCCGTGCCTTTTGAGCCGGTTCAGAAGTCTCCCTCTCCCTCTCCCTCTCCCATCTCCCCTGTGTCTTCGCAACGCCGTTCTGAACCTCCCCCTCGCCACCCCCCTCGTTTTAATCCCTCTGCGAACCCCGCTTCCCTGCAGCCGCAAACCCCCGTTATAGGAACGTTCTCCTGGGGAGCGACTTATAGCGGATTCCGCCCGCCAGTGGCCCCCTCTAGGGGGGCGCGCACCCCCACTTCCGCTGGGGAGCTGGGAGGGGGAGAGGGGGGGAGGGGAGATCGGGAGCGAGGAGGGGAGGGAGGAAGAGGAGAGGGGGGCAAGCTAGCTTCTGGGGGAGGGGGTAGTCTGAGTGATAGGATCAGGTCGAAAAGAGAGGGAAGAAGACGCGGGAGTGGAGGAGGTGACAGGGACCCGTCGGGCGAAGAGGAAGGGGATGGGGAAATCGAAGGGAGCGCAGCAGAGGCACAAGGCCCATATTTATCAGTAGCTGGGGAGGATGGCGAGGGGAATTTACCCTGGAAATCGGGCGATCCTGAGTCAGAGCGCACTCCAAGGTCCAACTCCCTCCCAAACGCCTGCTCCCCTTTCGCGCTGCTCATCCCGTCAGAAATCAACAGCCCGAAATGGGGGGTGGGCAGGGGCTTTGGCAGCACGCACGGCAGCAGTGGGCATGGCAGCAGCAGTAGCAACAGGCAGTCCAGGTACGGCAGGGCTCAGGATCAAACTCAGGGGCAAATTCAGGGTGAGGACCGGCCTGGGAGCAGTCACAGCTGGTACAGCCCGGGCGGCAGCAGCAGCCGCCGCCGCCCGGCTACAGCCGGGCCGCTGGGGGATGCGGACTCGGCTACAGCTGGCACCCCTACAGCCGAAACCGCTGTAGCAGGCACCCCTACAGCTGGCACCCCCACTGCTATCACCCCCACGTTTGGCAGAAGGCTTCGCAGGCAACGGGGCCCATCGTTCGGGGCGTCTAGTGAGCTGCTAGGGTTGATGGGGAGGGGGGCGATCAAGAAGGGGCTGGCGGCGGGGCTGAAGAGTGTGCAGAGATGGAGGGAGGGGGGGAGTGGGGGCGGGAGTGATGTGGAGTGGGATGGGGAAGGGGCGCTGTGGGCGGGGGAGAGCTTTGATTCACCGCGAACGGGAGAAAGTGGGAAGGGAGGAGGGGGAGGAGGAGGAGCGGAAGCAGGGACTGGCGGTTCTGCTGGCGCTAGTGCTGGTGTTGGTGGTGCTCTTGCTGGTGGTAGTGGCAGCAACCGATCCGGAAGGAGATCGCTTCTGTCAAGCTTTCTTTCAGACGCATCAGCGGATAGGGATAGGCCAGGGTCTGGTAGGAAGCGGTCCCAGGACGGTAGCCCGGGTAATTCGGCTGCGGCTGCTGCTGCTGCTGCTGCTAGTGCTGCCGCTGCTGGTGCTGCCGCTGGTGCTGGTGCTGGTGGTGTTAAAAAAAGGGGCTTTGATCATGATTCTGGGGAGGCAAGGGAGGAGGAGGAGGATGGAGAGGATGTGGCGCAGGAAGGGATGCTGTGGGAGCAGCTAGAGGAAAAATACCAGGAGCCGCTTTCTGCTGAGGCTGCTGCTGCCGCTGCCGCTGCTGCCGCCGCCGCTGCTGCTGCTGCTGCTGGGGCTGCTGCTTCTGGTGGTGTAAATCCCAACACACCCTCCCCTACAGCAGCGTCGCCCTCGCTTGCCATGGCTCTAACCCGTAGCATGTCGCTCTCTCGGAACAGGGGCCTCTCACGAGGCATGTCTATGGTCAGCAGCCGCGGGGCTGGCAGGGACGCAGGGGACGGGGGTGAGGTGGGCAGTGGCACGGGGGAAGGGGAAAGTCACAGGCCTGGAAGCAGCAGGCAGGGGAGATCGGTAGGGCGAGCGGGGCTGCCTAAGCCCAAGAAGAAGAGGTGGATGAAGAGGGAAGTGAAGAAGGAAGAGAATAAGGAAGAGAAGGAGGAGAGGCAGGAGGAGAAGCAGGAGTCTGGAGCGGAGGAAACAGGGCAAGGGCAAGGAAAGGGTGGGGAGGGTGGGGAGGGTACGGAGAGTGGGGAGGAGGGGAGGAAGAAGTGGTGGGAGTCGAATCTACAGGTGACGGCTGAAGATCCGGAGGAAGAGAGGAGGAATGAAGAGGTGAGGAGGATTCTGGGTAGCTTGGGAGGAGGGGAGGGAGGAGGAGAAGGAGCAGGAGGAGGTGGTGGGGGAGGGATGGAAGAGGAGGAGAAGCGGCCGACTATGGCAATGATGTTTCAGAGATCCATAAGCCTGAGACTTGCCCCGGGGGAGAGGCTAGGAGGAGGGAGAAGAGGAGGTGGTGGAGAGGGGTTGGGAGGTATAGATATTTTCAGGAAGCAGGTTACGCTGAGGGGTAGGCCTGAAAGGATAGAGGAGGAGCAGGAGGATTTGGAGATGGGTGGAGAGCGGTTGGGATTCATGAGCTTGAGGAAGCAGGTCACGTTGAGGGGAGACGGGAGGAGAGCAGTACTGGGGTTTAAGAGCCTTGCTGCGGCGGTTTCAGCACTGGTGGGAGGGGGGGGGAGGGAAGGGAAGCAGCAGAGGGAGGAGGCTAAGGTTGGGGAGCTTCAGGGGCAACAAGAGGAGGGTCGGAAGGAGGAGGAGGAGGAGAGTGACGATGGGGAGAAGGAAGAGGTGGGGGAGGAGGAAGGGAAGGAAGGGAAGGAAGGGAAGGGAGAAAAGGAAGGGGGGGCAGGACAGGAACGGGAGACCGGATTCTCAGGGATTAAGGAGGAGGAGGAGGAAGTGGGGGATGAGATAGAAGAGGAGGATACTGAGGATGGCAATCTGGGTGGTAACCAGCAGGTTCGGGGCCGTGGGTTCTTCCGATCCTGCTCGGTAGCTTCGGCACCGGATGACCAGGGGGCAGCGGAGCGAGTTTGGCTTGTACGAGCCTCTTTGCTAGGCTTGGCCGAGGCTGATGCTGATGCTGATGCTGGTGCTAGTGCTGGTGCTGGTGCTGGTGCTGGTGCTGGGGCTGGGGCTGGTGCTGGTGCTGGTGCTGGGGCTGGTGCTGGTGCTGGTGCTGGTGCTGGTGCTGGGGCTGGTGCTGGTGCTGGTGCTGGTGCTGGTGCTGGTGCTGGTGCTGGTGCTGGTGCTGGTGCTGGTGCTGGTGCTGGTGCTGGTGCTGGTGCTGGGGCTGGTGCTGGTGCTGGTGCTGGTGCTGGTGCTGGTGCTGGTGTTGGTGTTGGTGCTGGTGCTGGTGCTGGTGCTGGTGCTGGTGCTGGTGCTGGTGCTGGTGCTGGTGCTGGTTCTGGTGCTGATGCTGATGGGGTGAGGGATACGGGAGAGGAAGGAGAGGCAAAGCCGACAGATGGAGAAGCAGGAGGGGGGGCAGCAAGGGGAGATCTCACTCCCTCACTTACTCCCTCACTCACTCCCACACTCACTCCCACACTCACTCCCACACTCACTCCCACACTCACTCCCACACTCACTCCCTCACTCACTCCCCCTCTCACTCCCCCGCGCACTCCCCTGCGCACTCCAGTGATCACTCCCAGCACCAGTGCCAGGTTGACTGGCGTTGACTCGGCCACACTCGCCCAAGGGGCTGCTTTTGAGTCCACTCAAGCGTTGACTGGCGTTGACTCGACTCAACCGTTGACTGGCGTTGGCGTTGCTGATGATTCCCCAATGGTGGATGGTGAAACAGAGGAGGAGCAGCAGCAGCAGAAGCAGCAGCAGCAGCAGGGAGAGGGGTTGGAGGTGGGGCAGCAGAGAACAGAGCCAGTGCAGCGGCTTCTAGTGAGGCACCATTCCTTGAGCGGGAACGCAATGGAGGCTGTTGATGGGAAGAAGCTGATAGGTATGGATGTGGGCCTTGGCGTGGGCGTGGGCGTGGAAGGGAAAAACGCCAGCAGAAATACCAGCAATGACAACACCCCCATCACCAGCAATACTGCCATCAGCAGCAGCCAGCCGGCTCTGCTGCGCACTAGCACCGAGAGAATTGTCCGCTCCACTCGGAGTCTAAGTGCCCAGAGGTACCTCTCACCCTCCTCGTTCCGAACCCGAGCAGGGGCAGCAGGGGAGGCAGGAGCAGCAGCAAGGGCGGCGGGAGAAGCAGGGGTGGCAGGAGGAGAGGAGAAGGGGTATGGCAGCGGGGGTGACTGGGAGGGTAGCAGTGGGGGTGTGGTTAGGGCGAGGGGAGGGGGCGGGGCGGCAGGGGTGTCGTTCTACTCGTTTGATAAGCACAGAGAGGGGTTGGCTGCGATGGAGAGGAAAAAGAGGGGGTGGAGGGGGGCGGAGAGGAGGGGGGCTGTTGGGGGGGCGGAGAGGGAGGGGGCTGAGGGGAGGGGGCCTGAGAGTTGGGGGGATGTTGAGGGGGCTGAGAGGTGGGAGGCTGATGGGAGGGGCGCTGAGAGGTGGGAGGCTGATGGGAGGGGCGCTGAGAGGTGGGAGGCTGATGGGAGGGGCGCTGAGAGGTGGGAGGCTGATGGGAGGGGCGCTGAGAGGTGGGAGGCTGATGGGAGGGGCGCTGAGAGGTGGGAGGAAGGGCCGGAGTTTGCCCACACTCGTGACAGGTGGGAGGAGGCTGATGATCAGTTTGAGGGGCAAGTTCTGGGGCACCAACCGCAGCAGTATGAGCGTGAGGAGCAGGTTTTGGGGCACCAACCGCAGCTGTATGGGGAGCAATACGAGGAGCCGTATGCAGAGGAGTATGAAGAGCGAGTGTACTTTGAAGAACGGGGTCGGCAGGGACGGCAGGGCCAGCAGGGGGGGCAGGTGTATGAGGGAGAGTACGAGGAGGAACAGTATGGGCAGCTGGCGTTTGAGGAGCAGGGGTACGGAAGGGAGTATGAAGAGGAGCGGTATGGGAACGGGCAGTATGAGGAGGGCGGGTACGAGCAGCAACAGCAGTACATGCGGCAGCAGCAGCAGCAGTACGAGCAGCAGCAGCAGCAGCAGCAGCAGAAAGGGAGGGCGGGGTTGGATGACTGGGAGTATGTCCTTGAGCGTCGTGGCACCTGGAGCCCTAGTCGAGTGCTGGCAGGGAGGCAGGGCGGGAGGGGAGGGACGGACGCAGAGATGGGAGGAGAGAGGGGAGGAGAAAAGGGAGGAGAGAGGGGAGGAGATAGGGGGAGAGAGAGGGGAAGAGAGAGGGGGGGAGAAGCAGAGATGGAAGAGTTGGAGGGGCAGGAAGTTGGGGGGTTGAGATCGAGGTACTGGGTGGGGTTGCGCTCTGATGAGGGGCAGTTTCGTGACGGGCAGTTTGCTGAAAGCTCCCATGGCAGTGGGAGGAGTTTGGGCGGGGAGTCGGATTATGAGAGAGAGGAGTATATGGGGCTGGAGAGAGAGGAGAGGGAGGATGGGGGGAGAGGTGCGAGGGGGTATGGGGATGAGAGGGAGAGGGAGGAGAGAGGTGTGAGGGGGTATGACGAGGAGTTTGCTGGGGTGAGGGGGGGGATAGACAAGGGTGGGTGGAGGGGGGCTGGAAGGGGATCCTCAGGGGGGAAGGTGGGGGTTGAGGTGGGAGAAGATGGTGAGAGTGAGGAGGAGGAGGAGGGAAGGGACGATTTCGTGGACGATGAGGAGTTTCATGAGTTGATCGATTACAGTGATGCTGCTGGTGCGGGCGCTGCTGGTGCGGGCGCTGCTGTTGCGGGCGCTGCTAGTGCGGGCGTTGCTGGTGCGGGCGCTGCTGGTGCGGGCGTTGCTGGTGCGGGCGTTGCTGGTGCAGGCGGTGCTGGTGATGACGATAGGCATGTCGTTACGCCTCAAGGCAGGTCCAAACGGCACCAGAGTCGCTCCCCACACCAACGGGTACTCTCCCCCCACTCTCCCCAGCAATTGCTGCACTCCCCCCACTACCCTCAGCAGCTGGTACACTCCCCTCACTCCCCTTCTCCCCCCGGCTCCCAATTCTCGCCCCGAAGCCCCGCACTCTCCCCAAGTCCCCATACCAGCTCGGCCCGTGCTTACCGAGCCAGTTTTGGCTCGGAAAACACTGTACCTCGGCCGCAGGCTCGGGGGAGCATGTACAGGGCTGGTTCGGTAAGTGGTTCGGAAGAGGAGGAGGTGGAAGGAGAGGAGGGGTCTGGTAATATTTATAGCAAGAGGTTAGAAAGGGGTGAGGATGAAAGGAGAGGATATGGTGAGGGGGAGGGTAGGGGAGTGAGTGGGGAAGGGAAGAGGGGAAGTGGAATTCTCAGGTCACTTTCTCGCTCAAAACTTGCTCAATCCTCCAGTTTTTCGGGCACAGTGGAGGAAGTCAGCTCGGGCAGGCTGCAGGGATTTGGGCCTGACAGATTGAGTGGTGCTGTTGGGTCAAGTAGCTTTGGCAGGGCAGGTGCAGGGGCCGTGGACCGGACAGACTCAGGTGAATTCAACAGAGGGGGTTCAGGTAGATTCACCAGGGTAGACTCAGGTGAAATCAACAGAGGTGCAGATTTGTTCAACAGAGTAGGTTCAGGTGAATTCAACAGAGGAGGATCAGGTAGACTAGAAGGGTATGACATGGAAGGTGATTATATCGAAGGGGATGATATGGAAGAGAAGGAGGATTCCCTGATGATATTGCAGGCTGAAATGGTTTCTGGCTCTCATGTAAGAGGAGGGAGGGCGAGGGAGCAGGAGGGGGAGCGAGAGAGGGACAGGGAGGGGGAAGGCCAGAGGGGAGTGGGGAGGCAGAGGGGGCGAAGTGGCGAGTTGACTGAGATGCATTGGGGCTATGAGGAGGAAATGCAGGGGCATGGGGATGACAGCGATGGCTATGGCAGTGACGCCAGGCGATCGTCTGCTTACTCAGTGCGGCAGCAGCAGCAGCAGCAGCAGCAGCAACAGCAGCAGCAGCAGCAGCAGCAGCAGCAGCAGCGGCTTCCCGTTCGTCGCAGCCAAACGGAGAGAACGCGGCCCGTGCTACCCCGTCCCGCCCTTGAGGCACCTCAAAGGTCACCTCACAGGCAGCAGACTCGCCCTGCGCCTTCTGGGAGGGGCGTTGGTGGTGGTGGTGGGAGGGCAGCAGCAGCCGTGTTTAAGGGGGCAGCAGCGGGAGCAGCAGCCTCGTTCCCCCGTGCTAGCTCTTTGGACGCAAACACTGACAAACATCCAGCAGCAGCAGCGGCAGGATCAGCAGCAGCAGGGGCAGCAGCAGCGGCAGGAGCAGAGGGAGCACCCCAAACCTTTGGCCGCAGCTTCACTGATAGGATGCGGCCCGTGCCCCACCCTCGTGCTCCTGGCTTCTCTGCTAGAGAGTGGTTATCAGGCGAAGCAGAGGCAAGAGGGCCAGAGGCCCGAGGGCTAGAGACCCAGAGGTCCCCATACCAGCCCAGAGGTCCCCAGCAGTTTCAGCGCAGCTTTACCGATAGGAGAAGGCCTGTACTTGCTGCTGCTCCTCCTGCTGTTTCTGCTGCTCCTCGTGTGTCTGCACGAGAGTGGCTAGCAGGCGATTCCCGGCAGAGTGACCCGCAGCAGTTTCAGCGCAGCTTTACGGACAGGAGGAGACCTGTCCTTACTGCTGCTCCTCCTGCTGTTTCTGGTGTTCCTCGTGTGTCTGCACGAGAGTGGCTAGCAGGTGAAGCAGCACCAGCAGCGGTCGGCACAGGGAGTTTCCACCCCACCCACCCCAGCGATCCCCGGCAGTTTCAGCGCAGCTTTACCGATAGAAGACACGTCGTTCTTGCCCCCCCTCCTGCTGCTGCTGCTCCTGTTTCTGCTGCTCCTCGTGTGTCGGCTAGAGAGTGGTTGGCAGGAGAAGCACCAGCAGCAGGTAACCCAGCAGCATACCACCCCCACCCGAGCGACCCCCGGCAGTTTCAGCGGAGCTTTACCGATAGACGTAGGCCCGCCCCCCCTCCTGCTCCTGCTCCTCCTGTGATCTCAGCGAAGGATTGGATCGCCGGGGCAAGAGTGGGGTTGAAGGGAGGAAGGGAGAGAGGAGGAGGAGGAAGGGGGGGTGGGATAGGAGGTAAAAGGCTGGTAGGGGGCCGGAGGCTGCAGAAGCAGATGTCGGAAAAAACATTGGAGAATGTGGGGCGGAGGGGGTGGGGGAGTGGTGGGGAGGAGCAGGGTGCTGACTGGTGGGGTGATGCTGGTTATAGATCTAATGCTGCTTTTGGCAGCATTGCTGGTGTCGCTGGTGGTGGTGGCATTGCTACCGGTGCGTACGATAACCTGATGGGCCGTGACATCCGGGGAAGTCGGAGTGCTGCTGGTGCAGGTGCCTATGATAACCTGGTGCCTCGTGCGGACTCACCAGAGAGACGCGGAACGCGCAGCGGAGTGCGCAGCTTATCGCGGCATAACTCCCTTGGGGGCCGGGACATGCCGTCCTTTCCCCGCACTGACTCATTCGATAAGCGAGGGACAGACAAGGGAGCAGGCAAGGGGGCAGAGCGCGGCTTAGCCCGGCATGATTCCCTTCGGGGCCGGGACGTCCCGGGCCTCTTGCGTAACGACTCTCTGACGAGGCGCCGGCCGGACGAGTTACCACGTAACGACTCCATGCGAGCTCGTAGGCCAGACGGCCTGCCACGAAACGATTCCCGAGGCCGGCGCGGAGCGGAGCCTCTACTGCGCAACGATTCTCTTGGTAGGGGTGCAGCTGCTGCTGGTGCTGCTGCTGGTGGGGCTACCATCACTGGTGCTGCCTATGCAGCTGCGGCGGCTATGGCAGGTGGTGCTGGTAGCGCTGGCTTTGATCGGAGTGACTCCCTGAAGAGGGCAGGTGTGCCTCGCAGTGATTCCTTGTCCAAAACGCGACTCGCTGGTGCTAGTGCTGGTGGTGGCGGCGGTGGTGGTGGTGGTGGTGGTGGTGTTGGTGTTGGTGTTGCTGCTGGTAACTTGTCTCGTGACGACTCGCTTGGAAGCGGTGACTTCAGGAGCATGGCTCGTATGGGCTCTCTGGAGAATAGGAGCTTTGGGCGCAGTGCTAGCGGTGCTGGGAGTGTTGGGCTCAGCAGCAATGATTCGCTGGGACGCGGTTACCGCATGCGTGAGCAAGCAGGGAGCAGCTGGCATGAGGGAGAAGAGTATAAAGAGTGGTCGCAGCCCCTAGCACCCCAGCAGCACCAGCAACACCAGCAGCACTCCCAGCAGCAGCAGCAGCAGCAGCAGCAGCAGCAGAGGCGTGGGCAGATTCAAGCAGGGGTCAGGTCCGGGCGAGATAGAGGTCCGGGGAGGGCAGGCTTGGGACGATCCCCTGGCAGGGCTGCTGCTTCTAGAGGGGGTTTTGTGAGCGATGCATATGGGTACGGTGGGGTTGAGGGGGACGAGGAGGGAGGAGAGGATGGGGGGGAGGATGTGGGGTACGAGGGGGATGAAGGGGGTGGGTGTGTTTCTCAGGATTCGCTGCAGCGAGCAGCAACGATGAACAGCTCGGGGTATGAGAGCCAGAGGAGGCACCTGGATGTTACCAACTGGTTACCACAGCCAGCACTGGCCCCTCCCTCCTCTTTTGATCGGCCGTCGCAGTTCTAAATGGGGCTGTTTTGAGGGGGAGATAGGGGTATGGGGCGTTTCAGATGTTTCTCAGGTGTCCTTGCAGCAGCTTGGGACGAGATTCAGAATGCAGTTAAATGTTACCAACTGGTTACCATAGCTGGCACTGCCTCCTCCCTTGTTAGATCAGCCGTCGCAGTAGGGGTGCTGTTTTACCGGTAAAAATGAGTGAATTGTTTGCATTTGCGATGCCTTAGATCTTGTTTTTGCTGGCTGTGTGTAGGTGTGGTATTTATGGTCGTCTCTGACTTCTTGTTAGATGGAATTGTACCCGATGCGCTCGGTAGGTACTAGGCTGATGTTCTGTTTGTTTTGTAGATAGGAACCTTGTTATGTGCATGAATAGAGTATCATTGGAGTGGTATTTTGGCCTCCATTGTCACTGTTATGGGTGTTTAACCAGAGTAGCGCTGTTATGAATTAATCAGAGTAATAACATGTAGTGTAATAAAGGAGTCGTGATTCAAGAGTGTCGATACAAATGAGGGCCTAGGCATTTATAGGCACGAACAGAGCTAGCCGAGAACCACGCGAACAGGTTGGGGCGGTCCGGTTGGCGAAAGCCACGGAAGAGCCGCGGATCTAGGTTTGGGTTCACGAAATGGTTCGGGACCAAAGAAGTTGGCCGAGCCTGGACTTCCGAGAGTCGAGGGCGTACGCGCTGTAGTCGAGCCCAGTAAGGAAAAGGGAATTTCCTTACACCACCCCCCCTTCCGGGATGAGACTACCCACATCCGGGACACGCCGTCGGTGTAAATAATCCCTGACCACTATGTGTTCGCCAAGCATAGCTGCGGGGACCCTAAGATCGTCGTCAGTCGTGCGATCGACCCATCATACAAGGAAATCAACGGCTGCAGTATCTCGATGGCCTTGTACGCGATGAGTGAGAATCTTAGATGGCTCGATCGTCGGCTCGGGTACTGGGTCGACCGTAGGGTTTATGTGTTGACGGTCAAGATTAGTCGTACTCGGGACGAACGGTCGTAGGAGACTGACATGGAATGAATCATGAATTCGCCAGTCGCCGGCAGTTGCAGCTGGGCGGTGACTGGTGTCACCATGCGGATGATATGGAATGGGCCGCAAAAACTTGGTCGTAATTTATTTGGGAGGGGAATTCCCAAATTTCTGGTTTCGAGTAGGACCAATCGCCTAGGGGCGAGCGTTAAGTCGCGGCGTCTTCGGTCAGCTTGCTGCTTAGCCCTCTGGTTGGCTTTGAGGATGGCATCGGCGGCTTTTTGCTGGGACTGTCGGAGATTTTCGACGAACTGCTGAGACCTTGGTGCCGGATTTTCTATCGGGGGCGATAGAGGGGTTGTTGGATCTATCCCGTGATTAAGGAAGAACGGGGACTGAGTAGTTGTGGCCGATGGGGCGTTGTTGTACGCAAACTCGATCAAGGGAAGGGCGTCCTCCCATTGGGCTAGGTCTGTGCACGTCGTGCGAATCAGCTGCTCCATCGTCTGATTGGTGCGCTCAGTCTGGCCGTCCAATTGCGGGTGGTACGCCGTGGACAGATGCAGACGTGAGCCGTATTGCTGCTAGGTTTTTGTCCAGAAGTTAGACGTGAACCTTGGGTCGCGATCGCTGATGATTGCTGAAGGGATGCCGTGTAGTCGCACGATGTTCTTGAGGAACAGTTTCGTTGTCTGCTCGGCAGTAATCGTCGTCTTGCAGGCGGCGAAGTGGGCCATCTTGGTCAACCAGTCAACGACGACGAGAATCGCGTCGTTACCAATTGGACCAGCTGGCAGGCCTGTGACGCAATCCATCGTCACTTGTTGCCAGGGTCGACTGGGTGGCTCGAGCTGCTGCAGCAATCCCGCAGGTCGAAGTCGGGAAGACTTCATGCGTTGATACGTGGCGCAGGAGGTGACGTACAGCTGCACATCTGTCGGCAGGTCGGGCCAGTATTAATTATGGCTCAGTAATTTGGCGGTTTTGTCAATGCCGCAGTAACCCGAGAAATTCGAGTCATCTGCCTCCTGGATTAGTAGTTCTTGTAGGGTACGGTAGGCGGGAACCCAAATTTGATTGGTGCCAGATTTTAGGTAATAGGCCCCTTGCTTGACCGTTAGTTGGGGATGACTGTTAGTGGTGAAGAATGGGTCGGTATCGTATCCGTGGGTGAATAGGCCAGTTAGTAGCGGATTAGTTTGGGTAATTAGGACTGCAGCAGTGTGGACTGAAGGTCGAGTCAGTGCGTCGGCGATATTGCTAACCCCCCGTTTATAGGTGACTCTGTGGTGGAGGTTGGACTCGAGGTAATCAAGCCAGCAAATCTGTCGGGGGTTCAGTGTCAGTTGGGCGCGGATGAACTGTAGCGATTTGTGGTCTGTTCGGACTGTCACGTCAGCACCCGTCAGATAGCAGCGCCAGACTTTGAAGGCGTTGCTCGGCCGGGTTCAGCTTTCGTGATTCGTAGGCGATGGATTGGAGACCTTCGCCAAAGTCTTGTAACAGTACTGCACCAACGGCCAGATCGCTAGCGTTGGTGATGGGTTCGAATGGACGGTGAGGATCTGCAATCCGAAGAGCTGGAGGTGTAGTCAGGAAAAGTTTGAGCTGTTCGAACGCAGCCTGCTGCTCTCCTCCACACTCATAAAACTTGCCCTTCTTCAAGAGATCCGTGAGAGGGGAAGTCACCCCCACCATATTCGGAATGATACGTCGGACGTAATTCACAAACCCCAGAAAAACTTGAAGTTCACGGAGATTAGCCGGCGGCTGCCAGTCTTGTATCGTCGCGATTTTTTTGGGGTCGATTTTAATGCCGTCGATGGAAATGACATGGCCCAAAAATTCCAGCTCGTGTTTTATAAAATCGCACTTAGAGCCCTTGGTGATGAGTCGGTGCTGCTGCAATAGAGAGAAAACTGCTTCCAAATCCTTCAAATGCTGCTCCCGGGTAGTGCTGTAGACCAGTATGTCGTCGAGGTACACGATAACGCATTTATCCAGCAGCGGTCGAAAAACTTCGTTCATAGTTAACTGGAACGTTGAGGGCTCGTTTGTTGAGCCAAAGGGCATAATTGTGTACTCGTAACTCCCGTATCGGGTCCGAAACGCCGTCTTGTAGCAGTCTGCTTCGTGCATGCGGATCTGGTGGTAACCACCTCGCAAGTCAATTTTCGAGAAGAATTTGGCTCCGCGAAGTTGGTCGATGAGTTCGTCGGCACGCGGGATAGGATAACGAGACTCGATGGTAAACCGATTCAAGGCGCGGTAGTCAATATACATTCGTAGACCGCCATCTTTCTTCGGGGTGAACAGGATCGGAGCTGCAAACGGAAATTTACTGGGGCAAACGAAACCTTTCTCGAGCAGGTAGTCTAGCTGGCTTCGAAGTTCATTCAGCTCTGGCAAAGTCAGCCACCATTGAGTCCGAACAGTAGGCTGCGCGCCGGGCTCCAGCTCGATTTTGTGGTCATGGTCTCGTTCAAGTGGCAAACCCGCCGGTAGGTCGTCTGGAAAATTGTCGCCGTGTTTCCGAATCACCGTCGCGAAGTCAGCCGGAAGAGCTGCGCAGAGTTTGTCGATGTCGGTCGGCGTGTTGACAGCCGTTGAAACGATCCATCGGACGGCGTACCGTTGCGCCCCTCGAATCATGGCTCGTTTGATCGTCACTACGCTGACCGTCGATGTGGTCGAATCTTGACAGCTCCACTTGGGTAGTCTTCGCCATTCCCCACTCCATTTTATGCGACAATCGCCCGTCCGCCAGTCGATGCTCGGGTTGTATTCGCGCAGCCAATCGCGTCCCAGCAGCATGTCGCAACCATCCAAAGTTGTTGCCAGCATCTTCGTCGTGAAACTGAAATTTTCGTCGCATGTCACTCGCACGTGAGGTACCCACTCCCGAATTGCAAGGGGTGTGCCATCAACCAATCTCGCGTCGATTTCAGGCAATCGCAATTTTTTCACCTTTGTTACGTCCATCAAACTGTGGCTCGCCCCGCCATCAACGAATATTTTGATGCGGGTGTCGCCAACTCTCCCTTCAACCAGCATAGGGCGATCAACCGGTCCATATGAATTAATCAGAGTAATAACAGATAGTGTAATAAAGGAGTCATGATTCAAGAGTGTCGATACAAATGAGGGCCTAGGCATTTATAGGCACGAACAGAGCTAGCCGAGAACCACGCGAATAGGTTGGGGCGGCCCGGTTGGCGAAAGCCACGGAAGTGCCGCGCGTCTAGGTTTGGGTTCACGAAATGGTTCGGGACCGAAGAAGTTGGCCGAGCCTGGACTTCTGAGAGTCGAGGGCGTACGCGCTGTAGTCGAGCCCAGTAAGGAAAAGGGAATTTCCTTACAAGCGCGGAATTGAATGTCGAGGTTCAGAAGAACAGAATGTGGTACAATGGAATGACGAAGCAAGATATAGCAACACGACAGCAATCCTAGCTGCGTGATTGACTAGGTTCGGAGAAGGCATCCGAGGACGCGGAGCGTTTCGGAATAACGCGGAATGGTCCGGTGCGACGTGTTCGGGCTGAAGCTAGGGTGGATGTCGGTGCAATGTGGGGTCGGTGTACGCGTTAGCGGTGTGGCGCGCTAAGGAGTGGAACATTCCTTACACTACCCCCCTTCTAGCGAAGGTGGTCTACATTTGCGACGTGCTTGCAGGATAAACAATCCCAGAGTATAGTAGGCGACTGTACTTGTACCGAGGGAACCCACGTGTTGTCCTCACCGGTACGATGGGTCCATCGTATCATTAAGTCAACGTGTCGTTCCTGACCGTTGATTCTTACTCGATGGCTCTGGATCTTTGCTGGTTCGATGAGCGTTTCCTCAGCTGGTCGTAGATCCTGGGCAGTGGCGGAGGGTCAATTTTCACGCCTTCCGTCGAAATAACGTGCCCCAAAAACTCCAATTCGGGTTTTAAAAACGCGCACTTAAAGCCTTTGGTGATGAGACGATTCAGCTGCGGTCGCTGAAAAACCGCTTCCGGATCCTTTAAGTGCTGCTCCCATGTCGTGCTGTAAATCAGGATATCATCCACATTTATCAAGTAGATCCCGAAATACCCTGTTCATTGTCACGAACCCCCAAAACGATTGCAGCTCCTGGAGGTTGGTCGGCGGCTTCCATTCCTGAATTGCCCGAATTTTGCGGGGATCAATTTTCACCCCTTCCATCGAAATAACATGCCCCAAAAAATCCTGTTCGGGTTTAAAAACTCGCACTTATAGCCTTTGGTGATGAGACGATTCTGCTGCAGTCGCTGAGAAACCACTTTCGGGTCCTTTAAGTGCTGCTCCAGTGTTGTGCTGTAAATCTGGGTATCATCCAAATAAATGATCACACATCTATCAAGTAGATCCCGGAATACCCTGTTCATCGTCAGTTGGAACGT